TTTTCTCAAATCTTACTGTCACTGTGTCTATCTTTTCTCAAATCTTACTGTCACTGTGTCTATCTTTTCTCAAATCTTACTGTCACTGTGTCTATATTTTCTCGAGTCCTACTGTCACTGTGTCTCTATTTTCTCAAATATTACTGTCACTGTGTCTATATTTTCTCAAGTCTTACTGTCACTGTGTCTATATTTTCTCAAATCTTACTGTCACTGTGTCTATCTTTTCTCAAATCTTACTGCCACCTAGTCTATATTTTCTCGAGTCTTACTGTCACTGTGTCTATAATTTCTTCCTCTTCCTCCTCCTCCTCCTCTTCCTCCTCCTCTTCAAAATCATGTATTGATCGTAATGGATTTTTTGGTATAGCATCATCTCTTTCATCATTGAAATCATCGTCCAAATCACACTCATCCCGAACATGCTGCTGTGCCTTCTTTTTTAATTTCTTTAGGTGAGAAGCCGGCCAGAAGTAGTAAAGTTCTGGCTCTGTAATATCCTAGAAATAAATGCATGAAAACATCTGTGAACTGTATTGTAATAAGAAAAGAAGAACAGAACTGTTTTTATGTTAATGGTACCGGTACATATTCTGATCAATTTATTATGCAGAAATTGTTCTTATAGAACTTGATATATCATTTTTGGTAGACAATTGTCAACTTACAGGTAGTATAATGTACAAATATATATCCAATTCAATAAAATCTGTCTGTCAGATATTTGTGAAGTTAATATTTTTGATGTCATACCTTCTGAGAATCTAGTTGCTCACACACTTTCTGACTCTTATATAAATCTCTTTCTGCCTGTTGCTCTGAGAATCTGTTGCTCATATTTGCCACAAAATGTTGTTTCTGTCGAAGCTCCATCTTCTGCCGTTTGTGACTGACCATTGCACGAAAGGCCACAGCCTGAGCCTGTTTTCTCTTGACTTCTGTGTCTCGGCCCAATCCTCCTCGACCGTTCTTCAGTTCTATAGGCACAGGCTCTGAACGGCCTTCTCCTGCACAAAAATGTGATACAAATGACATGGAAACAAAAGAGTACCGCAGGGGAGGAACAATATACACCAGTCTCATGTCAAACTGACATATTAAAACCCCTCTGATGCATTATTTTATTACTGTAAAGTGTATAAAACATTGAAATGTAACAAGTAAACATTACTTTAACTGTATTACTCTGTAAAATTGTATAATTTCTGGTATATGATGAAAGGAGAGAGCATATTACTTCACCACGGAACTTGAAGGAACATAGATATGTCATGTATCCTTTGATACCTTTAAATGACATTTTTGTGTAAAGGAATTTCTTTCCTTTGCCCACGTTTAAAACCATTTGAAAAGAAATTGGTATTCCACCCCCTAGCCCATAATCGCTTCATCATAATTAAACCATTAAAACCATAGAATCAACATCTGAGCAACATTTACTACGGGCAAAATTTGTTAACACATAGTGTGGTGTAAAAATTTCACCAAAACGTTAACCCTGTCTTACAATCTGTACAAAAATCAGAATGCAGTAATCGTGTTATTATGACGAAACCATCAATCAATCAGAATGTAGTATGCTAATCAACCAATCAGAACGCAGTATGCTAATTCATTATACACAGATTTTTTTCCAAATTTTAACATATAGCCTTTGTTGTTCTTAAATATTGGCCAAGTTTCATTTCATGAGAATCCAATCATATTTGACCAAGTTATTGTGTGGAAACCCTAGACCAACAAGAACACAAAATGCTAATTAATAATGCGTAAATTTTATCCACCTTCAAAGTTGCCATAACTTTGTTTTTGTACAAGATATCTAATGACCAATTGCAAGTTTCCTTAAAATATGATCATATTTGATTATGTTATGATGTGGAAAAACGACCGATTAGAATGCTGATTTTTTCTCAACTTGGAATTTGGTCCGAGTCATTGTACACGATTACAAAGTTTCATAAAAAAAATGATGAAACTTAAGCAAGATATTTTTCGGAAACCCAAAGTGATGACTGACGCACAATATCATAATATGTCCCAAAAAAATTGTGCAATAGTATAAAATATTGATGTAACTGCTAATAGCAAAATAGCTTACAATAGCATATTGGTTCCCAAATAAAACCTTTGTCATTACAACTATTGGTACTTGCACACTGTACCTGACCAGTTATCGCAACCCTGCTATAAAGTTATTAACCAGAAACTAATATATTAACCACTGTAACATATCGTAAAGATTACCACGTTTGCCCAGAGCTGTTCCTGGTTTGTAGCCCATTTTGGCAAGGAGAGCGAAGCCCTTGTTTTCACTGCCAATGGCTGACTGAAGTCCCTCCTCTCTCTTCTCATTTTCTATAACTTTTTTTGGCTTGAATGTATTGTTGATTTTAGCTTGCTTTTCTTTCTCTTCTCTCTGGTAGTTCTTAGCTTGTCTGGAGGACACTAATCCAGGCCTCGTGTCTTTGCTGTCAATGAATGAATACTAGGTTAGTAATTTTGTTGCATGCTTTAGGTATCAGGTCATTTTGCCCTAAATCCTGTTCGCCCCATGTTGTTTTGTCCTAAAAATCAGGATTTAGGACAAAACCTGTAGTGCAATCAGGATTTAGGACAAAACCTGTAGTGCAATCAGGATTTAGGACAAAACCTGTAGTGCAATCAGGATTTAGGACAAAACCTGTAGTGCAATCAGGATTTAGGACAAAACCTGTAGTGCAATCAGGATTTAGGACAAAACCTGTAGTGCAATCAGGATTTAGGACAAAACCTGTAGTGCAATCAGGATTTAGGACAAAACCTGTAGTGCAATCAGGATTTAGGACAAAACCTGTAGTGCAATCAGGATTTAGGACAAAACCTGTAGTGCAATCAGGATTTAGGACAAAACCTGTAGTGCAATCAGGATTTAGGACAAAACCTGTAGTGCAATCAGGATTTAGGACAAAACCTGTAGTGCAATCAGGATTTAGGACAAAACCTGTAGTGCAATCAGGATTTAGGGCAAAACAACCCAAATTCCAGGCTGTAAACGGTTAGAATATATATATATATATGAAGCTGCTTCTTTGTAGCCATCCATCTATTTAAATCTAAGAGCTTTACTCTTTTCAAGTTATCAACAAAATATATTTGATACGTCAGTATGGTACATTTTATATTTACACCTAAATGAAAAAACAAAAGTCAAGTGTAATGCATATAAAATTAAACTAGAACACTGGCAGGTCAGCAAGGGCTCTCTGTGCGACTGACTACCTGTTGTATATATCCCACATTTTAGAAAAAAAAATGGGTGGTTGGTGGCGCAGTGGATAGAACACATGCCTTTCACCAAGGCGGCGAGGTTTGATTCCCCAATCGGACGTGAAAAGGTATTGTGTCGCCTGCCCGACCACATAAGTTGAAATAACTGGTTTCATAATTGTTTGTATTTAAGAACCAAGCAAAAGCTACATTGACCATCTTGGACTAAAGAAAATAGGTCATAGCATTATTCACATAGGTGATCTGTATCATTTGCCACAAACTTAAAAATATGAACAAAATTGTGTAAAAATCTCCAAGTGCTAATAGACAAACAGGCGGACGAACCGATGGACGGACAAAAAGGGGACAGACAGACGAATGGACAGCATAATAATTACTAATTGCATATGCAGACCCCCAATTAATTCTAACTAACTTTGCTTCAACATATGTTATAACAAGATGTTAACCTGTTAAGATTTACAAAATTTGGCCTTGACCTTTGACCTGATGACATTGAGCTTTGTTAAGTTGACTTTTTGTTTGATTATGACTACTCCTTTAACATAAGAGGCCGCTGGTCAGCCTTTTTTTTATCGGATATGATTTTGCCGACTGCGACCTGTCAAAAGTATCTCGCCCTGTAAACCTCGCTCTAACACTGTTGGAGTAGATTATGACCAACTTTGCCGCATAATGTCATCACAAAATGTTTACCAAATCTGGCCTTTTGAGGGTCATACAATGTAGTTTTGACAGCATATCCCCACTGTTTTATTTTTACTAACAGCGATCTTGACTTTGACCTGTTATAATAGTGAAACCCCCGGCCCTTTGAACATCTACATATATCACAGTGTATATCACCATGTCTCTGTGAAGTTTTAGAAATTTCCATCTTTTGAAATCCGAGATAATCTACGGAAATGAAAGTCATACCTGATGGACAGACAGACAGACACTGTGGTTACTATAGGGCACCTGCATCTTTGCTTAGTAATTTTTTTAGTGGAGCGGTGACAAGGTAGCAACTGGATCAAATGTCCATCTAAGAGTTTGGAGGTCTCGAGCTAGGCCCTTGCGGCCTCGTCCTGGTCGGACACCCCTTGATACCATACAGTATAGAATTTCTTGATTATAGTTACTGTACATGATGATGTATACCAGAAAACGTTTTCGCCTTTGGCTGGTAAGAATCTTGCCCTACATTATTATATGACGTCCCACTTTGTGAAGTAAAGTTAAAGTCATGCCAAGAAATAAACATGTTTCCAATGCAGTTATATCATGGAAATAATAAATACATGCAATTTCTAACAGTAATTCTATTACAGTAGTGGGAAAAGAGATGCATCTTGTCCCTCCAAGTTATGAACATTGGTGATCGTCACAGAGGACAGTTACAAAGGCTTTAAGCTGTTGTCAAAGATTATCCAGAAAATTTCTCCTGTGTGTCTGTATCGAAATGAGATGTTTATAATACTAATAGCCAATAGGTCAAAACTTAAAGTCAATACAATTTTCTTTAATGTTATCCGAGCACCTGCGGTTTTCAATAGGATAATGTCCAGATATGTGGACTGTTAATTAATACAAACCATTGTTGTAATATTGCATCGGACATGTAATCATCCTCTTCTGAATCGTTGGACATGTCTTATGTTGTCGTCGGCATTATCACTTGTGAAGGGAGATAATTCTAAAGTGAAACTAACTCTATGAACCGGAAAACGTAAAAGGCTCCGTCCGGATATTGAGTTATTAAATCGTCGTACCACTGCCAAAAATAACCCCGAGAGTAACCATGCATTGAGAACTGTTTTCCGGTTTACCAAAAAATTCGATAAATACTCTCCATGATCCAAACCAAGCGGTATTTATATACAAATTATAGACAGGAAATAAAAAGAGTCAGTCATTCAGGTCCGAATCGCAGGTACCAGAGAATTTGTTACAGCCATATTTCTACACTGATGAGGTGTTCAGAGAAAATTTATACCATCATTGGGAGTGGCATTTTTACCGGAAGTTGATCCAAACCCATAAAACCCGTAAAACCAGCAATATTACTCTGAACACCTCAGTATAAGATCCAATGAATAATATATATTATTAAAAAATATTCAACCGTCTATTTATTCATTTATGTCTACATTGAGATGATTATCTTCTTGCTTAATGTATAATTGCGATTGTAAGCCTTTTTGTTTAACAATTATAACTAATACTATTATCCAAATGTTGTAAAGCACTTCAGAGTAATTTTACAAATTATATAGGGCGCTATATAAATGCTGTATACCGGGGGTATTATTATTATTTGAAGATCCAAACATAGCTGTAACAAATTCTCTGGTCCCTTTGGGTCAGGCTAGATCATGATATGAACCTTGGACCCAACACCATATACAACTGTATATCGGGAGACTTCCACCCTGTCAAACCGTGGACCCAAGACCATATACAACTGTATATCGGGAGACTTCCGCCCCGTCAAACCCGGGACCAAGACCATATACAACTGTATATCGGGAGACTTCCGACCCGTCAAACCCTGGACCCAGACCATATAAAACTGTATATCGGGAGACTTCCGCCCCGCCAAACCCTGGACCCAAGACCATATACAACTGTACATCGGGAGATTTCCGCCCCGTCAAACCCTGGACCAAGACAATATACAACTGTATATCGGGAGACTTCCGACCCGTCAAACCCTGGACCCAGACCATATACAACTGGATATCGGGAGATTTCCGCCCCGTCAAACCCTGGACCCAAGCCCATATACACCTGTATATCGGGAGATTTCCGCCCCGTCAATTCCTGGACCCAGCCCATATCCCACCGTATCTCGGGAGACTTCCGCCCCGTCAAACCCTGGCCCCAGACCATATACGACTGTATATCGGGAGATTTCCGCCCCGTCAATTCCTGGACCCAGACCATATACCTCTGTATATCGGGAGACTTCCGCCCCGTGAAACCCTGGACCCAGACCATATACAACTCGTCAAACCCTGGACCCAAGACCATATACAACTGTACATCGGGAGATTTCCGCCCCGTCAAACCCTGGACCCAAGCCCATATACACCTGTATATCGGGAGATTTCCGCCCCGTCAATTCCTGGCCCCAGACCATATACCACTGTATATCGGGACACTTCCGCCCCGTCAAACCCTGGACCCCAGACAATATACAACTGTATATCGGGAGACTTCCTCCCCGTCACACCCTGGACCCAAGACCCTATACAACTGAATATCGGGAGACTTCCGCCCCGTCAAACCCATATACAACTGTATATCGGGAGATTTACGCCCCGACAATTCCTGGACCCAGACCATATACCACTCTATATCGGGAGACTTCCGCCCCGTCAACCCCTGGACCCAGACCATATACAACTGTATGTCGGGAGACTTCCGCCCCGTCAAACCCGGGACCCAGACCATATACAACTGTATATCATCGGGCGACTTCCCCACCATCAAACCCTGGACCCAAGACCATATACAACTGTACATCGGGAGATTTCCGCCCCGTCAAACCCTGGACCCAAGCCCATATACAACTGTATATCGGGAGACTCCCGCCCCGTCAAACCCTGGACCCAGACTATATACAACGGTATATCGGGAGACTTCCGCCCCGTCAACCCCTGGACCCAAGACCATATACAACTGTACATCGGGAGATTTCCGCCCCGTCAAACCCTGGACCCAAGACCCTATACAACTGAATATCGGGAGACTTCCGCCCCGTCAAACCCGGGACCCAGACCATATACAACTGTATATCGAGAGACTTCCGCCCCGTCAAACCCTGGACTCAATACCATATACAACTGTATATCGGGAGACTTCCTCCCCGTCACACCCTGGACCCAAGACCCTATACAACTGAATATCGGGAGACTTCCGCCCCGTCACACCCTGGACCCAGACCATATACAACTGTATGTCGGGAGACTTCCGCCCCGTCAAACCCGGGACCAAGACCATATACAACTGTATATCGGGAGATTTACGCCCCGACAATTCCTGGACCCAGACCATATACCACTCTATATCGGGAGACTTCCGCCCCGTCAACCCCGGGCCCCAGACCATATACAACTGTATATCGGGAGGCTTCCGCCCCGTCAAACCCTGGACTCAAGACCATATCCAACTGTATATCGGGAGACTCCCGCCCCGTCAAACCCTGGACCCAAGACCAGATACAACTGTATATCGGGAGACTCCCGCCCCGTCAACCCCTGGACCCAGACCATATACATCTGTATATCGGGAGACTTCCGCCCCGTCACACCCTGGACCCAGACCATATACAACTGGATATCGGGAGACTTCCGCCCCGTCAAACCCATATACAACTGTATATCGGGAGATTTCCGCTCCGTCAATTCCTGGACCCAGACCATATACAACTGTATGTCGGGAGACTTCCGCCCCGTCAAACCCGGGACCCAGACCATATACAACTGTATATCGAGAGACTTCCGCCCCGTCAAACCCTGGATCCAGACCATATACAACTGTATATCGGGAGGCTTCCGCCCCGTCAAACCCTGGACTCAAGACCATATACAAATGTATATCGGGAGACTTCCGCCCCGTCAACCCCTGGACCCAAGACCATATACAACTGTACATCGGGAGATTTCCGCCCCGTCAAACCCTGGACCCAGGCCATATACAACTGTATATCGGGAGACTTCAGCCCCGTCAAACCCAGGACCCAGACCATATACAACTGTATATCGAGAGACTTCCGCCCCGTCAAACCCTGGATCCAGACCATATACAACTGTATATCGGGAGATTTCCGCCCCGTCAATTCCTGGACCCAGACCATATACCACTGTATATCGGGAGACTTCCGCCCCGTCAAACCCTGGACCCAGACCATATACAACTGTATATCGGGAGACTTCCGCCCCGTCAAATATTCACATTCACTGGTAGAAATTAGACTTGCCCATTGTTAATTTTGCCATTCACATGTAATAGCTTATAGGATAAATTGTGTACAAATATTCACTGACATGATAAATTCACCCTTATTGCGGAGGATAAAAAGGTCGAAATACTAAAATGCAGGGAAAATTTCAGTATACAGTATTGCTCTAACCAACTAAGTTACCTGGTCACCTTGCCAGTTGCATCCTTAGCACAGATGCGCTACAGATATAACTTACTCAACATTAAAGGGAGGTTACTATATGTATGAACACGAGAGGAATCCTGGTACCCATCATCATACAATCTTCATTGGTTCTATGTAAGATTGTTCTTTTCTTTTATCTGTTGGATTGAGTCATATAAACTGTAAAAGATGTGGATTAATGGGTTGCCTTACAAGTGACAGCTGTAGGGAATTTCCCTTTAGCTCAGCGGCAGAGCATCGATCAGACGGACTGGAGAGCTAAGGGTTGCGGGTTCGAGCCCCAGCGATGGCACTTTCTTTATCACTATTTCTTGTCCTATTACAAATTCAAGGTAGGAGAACCGGTACCTTTGGTGGGGAGTCAAAGAACCTGGGTTGGTGTTTGAAAAAAGTGGGGAATAGTGTAAAAGATGTGGATTAATTAGGTTGACTTACAAGCGTCAGCTGTAGGGAATTTCCCTTTAGCTCAGCGATAGAGCATCGGGCTGGAGAGCCCAGGGTCGTGGGTTCTAGCCCCAGCGACAGCACTTTCTTTATCACTATTCCTCGCCCTATTACATAAACAATAAATTCATTTTGTGGTAGCTTTTGACAAACTTCATACTGCTTTGTATGTCCGTGGTATGAAATTGTTTTTCAAAGTGAGGTTGTCATATGATAATAAAATTGAACTATCAAAATACATTTACAAGATGGCTGTCTGGTGGTCATTCCAAATTAAAATTGAAAGATGCACAATGACTTACCATTTATAATCTACTTATGAAATTTGAGAAAGATCCCTCCAGTACTTTCTAGAGCAATAGTGCTAACAAACTTGAACTCTCAAAATGACTGCCTGTTGGCCATCTTGGTTTTGCTGGTCAGTCTCAAAATTCAATATGCACAGCTATGGACCATAGGGAACCAACGTGTGAAATTTGAGAAATATCCCTCCATGAGAAACAATGCTTATAAACTTGTAACTCTTGAAATTTGAGATGGCCACCTGTCAACCATCTTGGTATTCCGATTTGCATACTTTGTTTCAAAATTGATGAATTTTTTATCAACCCAAAAAATAACACTTTATTGGTTTATTTTCCTGGTTTTCTGTTGAAGAGTATTTTATTCTAGCTTATTAGTGTCTTTAGAAGATTGCTGAATATTAGCCCATTTGAGTATTTCTTGTCCGATTCCTCATGCCCTAGGGGTGAGTCTGGGTTTTGATTTTCAAACTATCTAATTGTCATCCTGTTGAAACTAATTCCAAAGAGGTTGATATTTATCGTAGACAAATAGAGCTCATTATAACAAGTATTTCAACTTTAGATTTATAACTTTTATTTTACTACAGGACACTGTCCTTTTTGGTCAATAATGTGATTATCAAACTTGAGGATGCGCTGTTTGGGGCAGGAGATATGAAGATGCAATCATGATCATAGTCTGGTACGAACCTCATACAAAACATGAATTGTCCCAACAAAAGAAAATAAATTGTATCACTTCAATAATTTGGATGATTTAGTTTATTGATTAAAGTTTGACATTTTTATCATTTTAAAATCTTGTATAGATACATGTAAATACATCAATTAACAAAAAGCTACTTTATCTTATATCACATCTAGAGATGATCAGGATTTTGTTTAATATAAACATCCCTGAGTCAGTAAAACCTAGTTTTCAAACAGTTGTCCTGCTAATTTCGGCATTATAACAGTCTAGTAACATATAAAACATGAATACATGACACAAAGGGCCTGTATCGCTCATTTATTTATTCTGTTATATCAACTAAATCAGAAGTTGAAAACATTTCCTCTACTTCGAGACCATTGTGACCTCAGATTTATTGTTGACCCAAACAGTCACAATGAAAACATGCACAATTTGTCAGGGAAATGTCTATAACTTGTACACCACCTTGACCAAATTATAACAGGATAATCCAGTGAATAAAACTATTTAAAAAAATAAAACTTGATTCTTCAACACCCAAAAATCTTATTATATCTCACTACATACACTCCAAATATTAAACATGTACATATGTTTTAGGTTTCACTGACAACGGAAGTCACTTAGAGCCGAACAACACTGTATGACACACCTGTATGTACCAGTATTGCTGTAGGCTTTACTGACAACGGAAGTCACTTAGAGCCTAACAACACTGTATGACACACCTGTATGTACCAGTATTGCTGTATGTGTCTATATATTGTCATAGCAACAAACTGAGTATGTGTTTACACGTAATAGCAAACTATAAAATACTACAGTAAAGTTGCTTTAAACATATTAACACTTCATGCCTAAAACGAATTTAAAACACATTTAAATTGACATCATAACATCTGTAAGGTTTTGTGTTACAAATTAAGCTTAGAAATATGGGTTTTACAACAAGTCTTCCTAATTTTAATACATTCAGTCCTTTCCGTGTTCCTTAACTCATTAATACAATTTCTTGGGATTATAAATGGCTTTAATTTAGTCCTTGAGCAATGCGATATGGACATCATATAATCGTAATCTAGCTTTAAAGAATCTTAGCAGAAAATACCGTTTCAGACAGGAACTGTTTATATCCTTTATTACATGTTAACAAATCTTTTATTGGACCTTCGGGTCTAGATCTGTTGAAATGAGTTGACACAAACAGATATGCAGTCTTTGTTTAAATTAGTACTGAGAATTCAAGTTATAAGTTAAGAATGGGATGCATGAAACAGCTCATTCCTGTTTAAAAATTGAATTTTATTAACAGTCAATCCTTAAATGTAATGTTACTACAGAGTATATTTAGAAATGCAACCTTCACAGAAACTGATTTGGAATCAACTTTGATGCAAGTTTATTTGTCAATTTTCATATGCAACATTTATGATTGAAATTGATTTTAAACTCCAACCTTTATAAATGCAACCATGGCAAAAAATAAATAAAATAAATCGAAATGCAACAGCTGCATCAATTCATCTTGAGCAGCAGTAATATCATAATCCATTACAATTTATATACATGTATCACAATAGATTTTCTTGCATAAAAACATAAAAAAAATATATATAGACCATAAGGAAAACAACAAAATCTCACCTACTAACCATGACAAACAAATGTTGTAATGAAAAGAAATCCAAAATCCAGAACAAAACCAGGTTCTCCTGCACAACTCAGTAGATTGTATTTTAAAATTTGCATAAAATATATCAATGTATCTAAATCATGTTTATGTTACAGTGATAGGGCAGAAACTACAATCATAAACAAAGACACATACTGACAACCTTTAACAGACTAGTCTTTAACACCACCAACATACACATGTCAATTTGTGGAAACGATCAGAGAACATACACATTTATTTTGTATTAAATTTAATATAAAAATAATATATTACTGTCCAGACAGAACTAAGTTTTAGAAATCTATCAAACATAGCAATTTGTCACGGAATCACATGATAAAATCCAGCCAATCAATAGGAGAGCAAGGCAAAGTCTCCAACCTCTGGCCAAGCCTTGGTAACAAAGGGCTATAACTCTGTATGAAGTGGAGCACACAACCCAACTTCTGTATGTATTACGCTGCCATTCTAGAGGTGCTCACATAAAGAATTTGGCAATTGTAAATAACAGTTTATGAGATATGCCCAAGACAAAGTGACACGTGGATAGACTGACAGAGTGCACATCTAAGTCTACTCTGGTATTACCAGCGGGGGACTATTGAAGTCTGGAAACAGTTAAAGAGTGATCCTATCAGAACGCAGTCAAATTGAAAGAAACTAGTTTAACACATTCAAAGGAAGATCAAGTCTGGAGAAAAGAGATACCAATTCTTGACAGTCAAAAAGACAGCAAGCACAGTTTGGACAAATGTCAAAGATGAAGCAATCCATGACACAGGAAAATGAAGAGCCAGTCTGGAAACTTCATAAAGGAAAAATCTTAACAGAGTCAAAGAGCAAGACTGTGTCTGGACACAGATCATAGAGAAATCCAGTCTGGACACATGTCAAAGTAAAAACCAAAGACACAGCCAAAGAGACAGCCAAAGACACAGTCAGAGGCAGCCAAAGAGACAGTCAAAGAGACAGCCAAAGACACAGTCAAAGAGACAGCCAAAGACACAGTCAAAGAGACAGCCAAAGACACAGTCAAAGAGACAGCTAAAGACACAGCCAAAGGGAAAATCAAAGACACAGTCAAAGGGAAAACCAAAGACACATTGTCTGAATATGATTAAAGAAAGAGAGTCAGTCATGCTTGGACCCATTCAAACCTAGAGTTAGTCTTTGTGTAAAGGGGAAAGTCAGCATGGGTACAGTTACAGGGCAGTCTGTGATTTAGTTCTGGTAGCATCCAGTGTTATAATACAATCCTATCACACTCATCATGTAGTTCTATTGTAGCACCAATAATGATACGCACTATCCTCTATGAATATAAGTTTTCCTTGTGTGTGAATTTTAATATGACAAAAAATACATTCTATAAAACGTGTCTTAAAAAGGTACAAGGCACACCACGTAGTGATGATAAAAACGATATACTTGTAATTCAAATGAAAGAACAAACCTATGGAATACATTCCACATCTTTATATGTATCTACACTATTGTATGTATACAACACAACAGCAGTACCTCTGCACATAACATTATTTGGGACGTCGGGTAAAGACGTTGATTCTGCTTTATTGCATACCTACAACCTTTATGTGTATGTTATATTTCCTCTATCATATTACCTCATAATTATTTCAAATCAACATTCAAGACTTTTGATAAGTTTTGGAAATTATAAAAACAAAAAAATTGGCAGACAAAAAATGTCTAGGACAGGACAAAATATTATCTCATAATGGTGGCAAAATATTCATTCAGAAGTGTATCAATTTTTCAACAGATTTAATAACCAATGAGGTTGCGCTAAACAAAGTTCTGATCTAGTGACTTGGTACACCATTCTGCGATACCAAGGTTATGTATGGGCTGATAAATGCCTGGTATATATCCGTATGGTAAGATGAAAAAGGTATATGTAATAATACACTCACAGTAAATTCATTTAGACAGGTGTATCAAAATGGTCATGGTTTAGTCAGGTGTACCACAACATGGTCCAGCTTAATGTTTGATAATCACAAAAATAATCAGTATTAAGACATGGACAACAATGCTCCGTAAAAACTTGTTTATGGATTTCACTGTTCAGTATACAATAACCATAACAATAACAAATTGGTTAACTATTTTCATTTCTTTCATTGCAATATAACTATGGAAAGGCAATGAATAAATCATATTAATTTCCATACAAAATTATCATTACATCAAATCGTTTTTTCTTATTTTTTACAAATAATATATGTATATGAAAATTTCCCAAGATTATAAAATGAATAAAAAAAAAATGGTCAGATTATAAAATCCAATATATGTATTTACACAAAATGTATTTGATTGATTTGGATTGGGTAAATATCCTTTGCTGTCACTCTGAACCACTATTTATGTCGGAGGTAGTCTCCCCTTACACCTCCAGTCTTCTGTTCTAGCCGGATATCACTGATAACCATATCCTTGGACACGGCTTTACACATATCATAGATTGTAATGGCCGCCACTGAAACAGCCATGATGGCCTCCATTTCAACACCGGTTTTCCCAGCAGTCTTTGCTGAGGAAGTGATATGAATGCAGTGATTTTCTTCATTCAATACAAATGATACATCAACCCCAGAAATAAAAATATTGTGGCACAGTGGAATGAGTTCCGAGGTTCGCTTTGCTGCCATGATGCCTGCTAGCTGTGATACAGACAGCACATCCCCTTTTTTCATCTTATTTTCTTTGATTAAGGGGAACACTTTCTCCCCTACGTGGATGGTTGCTGAGGCGACAGCAGTGCGCACTGTGTCTGGTTTATATCCAACATCCACCATTTTTGTTTTGCCTGCAGTGTCAACATGTGTCAAGCTATCACAGTCTGATTTACTTATATTTTCTGATATATTTCTATAGTTATCATGGTCCTGTTTATATTCTGTAACATCACAATCCTCCTCAATGTCCCCACGCTCAGCAGCCTCCGCTAATCTAGCCCGGCGGTCAGTCTCCCAGTATTTCATACTTTCCTCATCACCTGTCCAGCACTGTCTTATCTGGGTATTCCACGGCTGTGGTGTAGACAGGAACGTAGCAGAAACAATACCAGCGGGCATTAAAGTTGTGAAGGAATGTGTACATGAGGTTGACAAGGTTCGCATGGACATGCCATCACCGGGACATTTAAAGTCCTCTATTTCTTCTAAATAATCTAGAAAGAAAAAATCAAATTTGTTTATTTTTTAAAGACATAAGTTTGTGAATTATTGGGGAAAATTTATATTAATTAAATCAAAAGTAAAACAAAATTTAACGAAGAAACAATTTTTACCCTATTTGACCCAATAGATGTGCCTTCTGGTTTGATGTTGAAACAGGTAGTCATGCCATAATGTACAGCGTAACCTTGATTTATCACCAACTGTTTTATCACCGAACATAACACAATCCAATTACATTTCCTTTTTAGCTTTCTGCTAAGGGGATAATGAAGTAACAACAATTGGCCTTATTACCCATTGCTATATTTGGGAGCAGTTTCTCTTTCCCTTTCTACCGTTTTTCTATGACTTTTCAATTCTCTTGTGTATCCCTTGGTCTCTTTAACAATTGCCTAAAGCCTCAATAGATATGCCATGGTATGTTTTAATTACATTCCCCATCATAGAACACAGTGTGTAATTTAATGATAACTGCTGTTCAATGTCATAAAACTACTGTTCAACATGGTTTTATTGCTGTGTAAGTTTGTTATTGTTCAACATTGTGTTACTCTTTACAACAATGTGTTATTGTGGTATAACTTTGTGTGTTAATTTCACATTTCATTGTTATATTTCCATTGCTGTGGTACTGGCGTCTTATCTTGAAAAAGAAGAAGGTAAAACTTTATGTGTCTTTACTGTTGCTATCGTTGAAATTCTAAGTGTATAAATATGTATGTCTATGAAGATAAAATTAATGAAGCAGTTCTTTCAATATATGTTTTGTTGTTACTTACTGAGCAATCACCCACCAATCAATATCATAGGTCTGTTCTTCATCTTTGACAAATTAAACATACCTGAAATACAAAGATGTCTGTACACTACATGACTACCTGTCTTTAATTCAACCTGATGGCATTTTTGTGTGAATTAAAATGTCAAGTTTTAAGCCAATTCATGCAAGAAACATGATGGCAAAGATGCCTGTACTGTTCACCTCCTGTATCACACGGAACGTTGAATTTTACTGCTAGGTATGGCCTTTTATGTTATGGCTCCACAGCCCCGATTTAAATCTCAAACTAAACCACAAGGCAAAAATCTAACATTACAACTCAAACCTTTTCGAACTGGAATGCTGCATTTTGTGGAAGAATTCAAAATATTTCATCAAAGATACACACATAACCCAAACTTCCATTATAATAAATGCAAAACAACTTAATAAACAGATCTTAAATATATCGACAACTTTGTTAAAATCTAAAAAGGACCCCACATCAGGTTAGCTTCAATTTTATATCTTTAAGGGTAAGAATAGTGTGATCATGGAGGCATCCTACAACATACTCATATTTGGGTACAAGTAACAAAAAAGAAATCGACAACGATATAAGTTTTTTGTTAAACCACATAAAATAATGACAGCACAACACAACCCACCAGCATGCTGTTTCTTCTTCCTCTTTACAGCTGCACTGATCACGTCCCTCAGCTCAGCATCGTCCGGCGAAGCTCTCATTACATCACGTAGTGACACCTCCGTGTTCCCAAACAAACAAACCTGGCAGCACAGAAGATAAATCACATCAGTTAATAGATCTTAAGTCTAACTGTGATTTCTTGAGACAGCTGGTATGTCATATTAAAGATGGACAGATTCGAGTCACAACATAACAAACAGAAAAGCTAATGAACAAGAGCACTTGAGGTTACCATCAGCTGTGATTTTGATTAGTTAACTTGAAGTTACCATCAGCTGTGATTTTTAGTAGTTAACTTGAGGTTACCATCAGCTGTGATTTTGAGTAGTTACCTTGAGGTTACCATCAGCTGTGATTTTGAGTAGTAACCTTGAGGTTACCATCAGCTGTGATTTGAGTAGTTAACTTGAGGTGACCATCATCTGTGATTTTGAGTAGTTAACTTGAGGTAACCACCAGCTGGGATTTTGAGTAGTTAACTTGAGGTGACCATCATCTGTGATTTTGAGTAGTTAACTTGAGGTAACCACCAGCTGGGATTTTGAGTAGTTAACTTGAGGTGACCATCATCTGTGATTTTGAGTAGTTAACTTGAGGTAACCACCAGCTGTGATTTTGAGTAGTTAACTTGAGGTGACCATCATCTGTGATTTTGAGTAGTTAACTTGAGGTAACCACCAGCTGTGATTTGGAGTAGTTAACTTGAGGTTATATCATCATCAGCAATGATTGTGAGTATTTAACTTGAGGTTACCATCAGCTGTGATTTTGACTAGTTAACTTGAGGTGACCATCAGCTGTGATTTTGAGTAGTTAACTTGAGGTGACCATCATCTGTGATTTTGAGTAGTTAACTTGAGGTAACCACCAGCTGTGATTTGGAGTAGTTAACTTGAGGTTATATCATCATCAGCAATGATTGGGAGTAGTTAACTTGAGGTTACCATCAGCTGTGATTTTGAGTACTTAACTTGAGGTTACCATCAGCTGTGATTTTGAGTACTAACCTTGAGGTTACCATCAGCTGTGATTTGAGTAGTTAACTTGAGGTGACCATCATCTGTGATTTTGAGTAGTTAACTTGAGGTAACCACCAGCTGTGATTTGGAGTAGTTAACTTGAGGTGACCATCAGCTGTGATTTTGAGTAGTTAACTTGAGGTTACAATCAGCTGTGATTTTGAGTAGTAACCTTGACGTTACCATCAGCTGTGATTTTGAGTAGTTACCTTTAGGTTACCATCAGCTGTGATTTTGAGTAGTTAACTTGAGGTTATATCATCATCAGCAATGATTGTGAGTAGTTAACTTGAGGTTACCATCAGCTGTGATTTTGAGTTGTTACCTTGTGTTTACCATCAGTTGTGATTTGATTAGTTAACTTGAGGTTACCAGCAGCTGTGATTTTGAGTAGTTAACTTCAGGTTACCATCAGCTGTGATTTGAGTAGTTAACTTGAGGTGACCATCAGCTGTGACCTTTAGTAGTTACCTTGGGTTACCATCAGCTGTGATTTTGAGTAGTTAACTTGAGGTGACCATCAGCTGTGATTTTGAGTAGTTAACTTGAGGTTACCATCCGCTGTGATTTTGAGTAGTTACCTTGAGGTTACCATCAGCAGTGAGTCGGATCCTGTTACATGTACCACAGAAATGCTCACTCATAGACGAGATGAAACCGACTTGGCCGGTAAAACCAGGTACATGATAAGCCTGGAACAGAAATATATAGCTGTGAGTACATGAAAAGTCTGAATTACAGGATACACCTGAAGTATAGTGTTAACAACATAAGCATATGAAAATTTTAACTACAAATCACAGAAATGTTATATTTTAGGAGTAACTGAAGGAGAAGATTGTTTTGATGGAGAGATTTAATTTGTATAACATGATGGTTACCTTGGATGTATCATTTGGATGGTCCTGCATTCTGGAGAAATCAGGCCACCTTGCCTTGATGGTGTCCACCATTTCTAAATAACTGACCATTTTCTTTGAGTTCCACTTGTTCCCATCAAATGGCATGTACTCAATGAACCTGATATCAACATTCTAAAAGCAAACAGAAGATACCCTCAGAATGGTGTTTGTACCGGTGCTTAACATCATAACCTTCTAGTAGTCTGGATACCTGCTGGTTTAAAAACTCTTCATTGTCAAATTAAACATACAACGACAAAGCCTATATGTTGCCTTAAGTCAAAGTAACAAACTAATATCTCTTAAATAAGTCATAATTATAAAACAAGCTAATGGACGTTTATTAGATTAGATAACCTTGTCACAAAGTACAGATAAGATAGTGTAAGATAGAATATATCTGACATTGCAATGAATGTTTGAACAGGCATATTTTGTATATTTTTACCTTGTCTTTTGTAAAGGCAACAAAATCACAGATTTCTTCTTCATTTAGTCCCCTCATCACAACACAGTTTACCTGTAAGTATCAACAAACAATTAATTTTAAAGTATCGAAAAACATTTCACATTTTGTATACATGTAAGGGGTAAAGTGCACTAACATTATATTATTTACCAAAAATGTTTGTCAATTTTCAAATTCATAAGCCTTTCTAAGCTTTGAATGATTTTTAGATATTAGTCCTATCTAGATCAAGGAATGTGTACTTCCCAGGCAACAGACAGACTAGTAGTTAGACGGAAGATGTCAAAGGTCACAGACAGACTTTATATAGCTAGTAGCTAGACTGATGATGTCAAAGGTCACATTTTTTGTGATTCTTTTTCAAGTAATACTAAAATATCTAAGAACCTCAAATCATTATTAGAGGCATGGTTGTCTGGGCTCGTGACCAAAGGGTTGTAAGTTCGAGTCATGTCATGGCAATGTGTTGTATCCTTGAACAAGATACTTTACTCTGCTTGTTCCAGTTTACACAGCTGTAAATGAGTATGTGGTAGGGCAGTGCTGGGATTGTTGAATGCTAGCTGTGAGTGCCTAAATGGCAGCACCTGCTATGTGCTCCCCAAGGAGTTGAGAAAGATATTGGCTGGTTGTAAAGGCCCAATAACTCAGATAATAATTTGTGAACCACTTTGAGACCACCTACGACCACAGTTGTGTTAAAGCAGTATATAAAACCCTAGAATTATTATAATCAATGAAATCATAAAATATAAGAATTTTACCATTAACAAATACTCTTTGGGTGCACTTGTCCGACATTGAATTACACACTCACCATGACTGGACTGTACTCTAAAACTAGCGATCACCTTGACTGGTATGTACTCTAAAACTAGCGCTCACCTTGAATGGACTGTACTCTAAAACTAGCGATCACCTTGACTGGCCATGGACTGTACTCTAAAACTAGCACTCACCTTGACTGGACTATAGTCTAAAACTAGCACTCACCTTGACTGGACTATAGCCTAGATCGATGGCAGTGTCTATTCCTTTAATGACGCGATCCCAGCCCTTCCGACGAGATATGAACTCAAACTTTGCTGGGACTAGTGTGTCTAGACTGACATTGATAAGGTCAAGACCAGCCTCCTTTAGAGCAGGTAACTTTCTGGCTAAGGTCACGCCATTCGTTGTCATAGCAATAGTCTGCAGACCTAGGTCCCGGAATTCATTCAAACCTCCTGAAAAACAGGAGAGAAGCAATTATTATACATCAGTGACAGAAACAAGTATATAAATATAGATATTAGACCTCTTTATTATATAAAAACAAATCTGACTTCCAACTTTCACCTTGTATTAACATTCACATACAATGTATTTCTGCGGTAACATTGAATCAGGAGAAAACATAATTGATTCAAACTTACAAGTATTGGTTAACTGTGAAAATGCACAAAAACAAATAGGTTTTGTTGCTTGAAACTGTTCCAGAAGGTTATACAGTGTGAAAAAGGCATATTCAGGATTTACAGTATTAGCAAATTGCACTATAATTTAATAAATAAGATATTCAGAATTGATCACTTGTTTGAAAAAATACTAAAAATATGGAAATAAAAAACAATTGTGAGAATGGTAAAAAATCTCTTTTCTAGCTACAATTACAAAAACCTGCCAAAACTTAGTAAAGTGTTGCACAGCTTACTTATTATTTCCACCACGTCCTTCCTGACCAACGGTTCACCACCAGTGAGGCGTATCTTCTCAACACCCTCCTTCACAAACATTTCAGACAGTCTGAGGATCTCTTCTGATGACAGGAGTTTCTGAGAAGGAGTCAGTTCTACACCATTCTCTGGCATACAGTACTGACCTGTATACATATATCATGAATGAAACAATGGGAAATCAGGCATACAGTACTGACCTGTACATACAGTACTGATCACCTGTACATACAGTACTGACCTGTAGATACAGTACTGACCTGTACATACAGTACTTATCACCTGTACATACAGTACTGACCTGGACATACAGGACTGATCACCTGTACATACAGTACTTATCACCTGTACATACAGTATTGACCTGTACATACAGAACTGATCACCTGAACATACAGTACTGACCGGTACATACAGTACTTACCTGTACATACAGTAGTGATCACCTGTACATACAGTACTGACCGGTACATACAGTACTTACCTGTACATACAGTAGTGATCACCTGTACATACAGTACTGATGACCTGTACATACAGTACTGATCACATGTACATACAGTACTGATCACCTGTTCATCCAGTACTGATCACCTGTACATACAGTACTTATCACCTGTACATACAGTACTGATCCCCTGTACATACAGTACTGCCCTGTACATACAGTACTGATCACCTGTTCATCCAGTACTGATCACCTGTACATACAGTACTTATCACCTGTACATACAGTATTGACCTATACATACAGTACTGATCACCTGGACATACAGTATTGACCTGTACATACAGGACTGATCACCTGTACATACAGTACTTATCACCTGTACATACAGTATTGACCTATACATACAGTACTGATCTCCTGTACATACAGTATTGACCTGTACATACAGCACTGACCTGTCCATACAGTACTGACCTGTACATCCAGTACTGATCACCTGTACATACAGTTCTGATCACCTGTACATACAGTACTGACTTGTACATACAGTACTGACCTGTACATCCAGTACTGATCACCTGTACATACAGTAATGACCTGTATACGTATTTCATTTATGTGTGTGATTCAGTGGTGAATTAGGCATGTAATATAAGGGTATATTGTAATATTAAATTTTAGCAAACATGTTACAAATTGTTATCTGTTATTTTGTGTCACAATTTCCTAAACTTTCCTTAACAACTCTGAAGTTGTGCTCCAATGTAAGGTGACAAATTAAACCTACATCTTAAGCACTTTGTTTTAAGTTGCCAAATGCCAAACCCCACAAGTACATCTTCAAGCCCTTGTTTGCAGTTAACCTCCAAAAGCAGGTGTGTACATACAGTACTGATCACCTGTTCATACAGTACTGACCTGTAAATACAGTACTGATCTGTACATACAGTACTGACCTGTACCTACAGTACTGATCACCTGTACATACAGTATTGACCTATACATACAGTACTGATCTCCTGTACATACAGTATTGACCTGTACATACAGCACTGATCACCTGTACATACAGTACTTATCACCTGTACATACAGTATTGACCTATACATACAGTACTGATCACCTGGACATACAGTATTGACCTGTACATACAGCACTGACCTGTACATACAGTACTGACCTGGACATACAGTACTGACCTGTACATACCGTACTGACCTGTACATACAGTACTGAGCTGTACATACAGTACTGACCTGTATACGTATTTCATTTATGTGTGTGAATCAGTGGTGAATTAGGCATGTAATATGAGGGTATATTGTAATATTAAATTTTAGCAAACATGTTACAAATTGTTATCTTTTATTGTGTGTCACAATTTCCTAAACTTTCCTTAAAAACTCTGAAGTTGTGCTCCAATGTAAGGTGACAAATTAAACCTACATCTTAAGCACTTTGTTTTAAGTTGCCAAATGCCAAACCCCACAAGTACATCTTCAAGCCCTTGTTTGCAGTTAACCTCCAAAAGCAGGTGTGTACATACAGTACTGATCACCTGTTCATACAGAACTGACCTGTACATACAGTACTGACCTGTATACGTATTTCATTTATGTGTGTGAATCAGTGGTGAATTAGGCATGTAATATAAGGGTATATTGTAATATTAAATTTTAGCAAACATGTTACAAATTGTTATCGTTTATTTTGTGTCACAATTTCCTAAACTTTCCTTAAAAACTCTGAAGTTGTGCTCCAATGTAAGGTGACAAATTAAACCTACATCTTAAGCACTTTGTTTTAAGTTGCCAAATGCCAAACCCCACAAGTACATCTTCAAGCCCTTGTTTGCAGTTAACCTCCAAAAGCAGGTGTGTACATACAGTACTGATCACCTGTACATACAGTACTGACCTGTATACGTATTTCATTTATGTGTGTGAATCAGTGGTGAATTAGGCATGTAATATGAGGGTATATTGTAATATTAAATTTTAGCAAACATGTTACAAATTGTTATCTTTTATTTTGTGTCACAATTTCCTAAACTTTCCTTAAAAACTCTGAAGTTGTGCTCCAATGTAAGGTGACAAATTAAACCTACATCTTAAGCACTTTGTTTTAAGTTGCCAAATGCCAAACCCCACAAGTACATCTTCAAGACCTTGTTTGCAGTTAACCTCCAAAAGCAGGTGCCAAACCCCACAGGTCCATCTTAAAGACCCTGATAAAAAGTTGTCCTCCAACACAAGGCACCAAACCCGAAAGTACATCTACGGGCACAACCGGGTTCAAATGTTCTAAACCCTTACAATCATAGTTTAATGATGAGGTTGAACTGCTATTGAGTAACTTACATCTGAGATTACATCGTTCACTCAGTGATATTCTTAGGTAGGTGTGCTGTCGGCCAAACGTGTCGGTCAGTGTGTCTGTAGAAGGCCCTACTCTTTCAGCCTTGTTAGGACCACACTGAACTGCAGGCTCTTCTTCAATGTTCTCCTAATAATTAGATAAAAAGTAAAACGTGTAAACAAAGAGATCTCCTGATTCAAAGGTGAAGAAAAAAAAATCTTTATTCTTTTTTTCAATTGATTGATAATCGTGAGCATACAAGTATAGAAATGATTAGTGAGGGGTTTGTGCAAGTCCTTGATCACAGTATAACTACATACTGGTTGTTATATCATACATAAGAAAATAGATTCACAGATCTGAAGGATGGGTAAGGTATGGGAAGACATTATTCCCATCTTTCCATTCTTTTCAAACATCACCATGGAGATACATGTATACATATTTGACTGGTTGATAAAAAAAATTGTGTTAAATACATGTTTACAGAAATTTGACTATTCTAACTAAAAGTACCTACAATCTTATTCTATGTACATGTACAAACAATAACACTTCAACAACTAACAAATTTACAAATGATCGAATCAGCTATTTCATTTTGTATGAAATATTCAAACAATTTCCATCATTTATATAACTCTCCTTTTCCAACATCAGTATACACAGCTCCTGATATTAAGATATACATATAGGATACAACTGTGCCAGTTATAATTACCATTAGTTCAACTCCAGAGCTGGTTTATAAATTCCGTAAGTTAATTCCCATCTAAAAGTCAACAAAGTCATCATCTAAAAGCTCCAAAAATATTTTTTTCTGGCTTAGAGTTCTTTCCCTTATCAAGGTATTCATTTCTCATTTCTATGACCAGCATATCATTAATAAACCTAGGATAACATAATTGGAAAATTATGGTATGTTTTGCCTAAAACAAAATAGAGAAAATAATCAAGTTTATTTAGTGGTTTTTTTAAGGAAAATGTAAAACAAACCAATGATTCTGTTCTTTATACTTCTCGGCCAACAGCTTTAAGATATGTACAGTAGCTATATAAATGTATATATAGTGTCCTATTTCTTTAATTAGATTCTCGAAAAAAACATGAAGTGTTATTGATTTTGCATGATTTTGTTTCCGTATCTTTGATATTGAAAACATACATGAATCATTCTGTTTACCTGTAACAGGTTGATATCAACTATATATGTACACGTATATATACAAGTGTAGTGTCTGATCAAGCCAGCTGTGTATGCCTTTACTACATACATATGAACCATACTACACAGATAAAATGTACATTTTGTCCTTTTGTAATTCATGTAACAGCAAGTGCCTGTTGTGTACATACACTTAGTCTACTGTGTACAGGATCTAAAGCATGACTTATATCTAGCAATGTAGTCTGTAACTGTCAGTGCAGTAACAATGGGTATGGGTACTGTTTCTGCACTCAGAGGTTTACATTTAGTACTGAAATAGTCAGGGGTTCCTCAAGTTGTTTCAGTTACTGTGTTCTTTAAAAGAATGTTTGGACACATTAAAAGGAAAATCAACACCTACCTAGTTTTCATAAATATATTTACTCTTGTTTGGTATTGCCTTACACTCCATCTTGATACTGTGCTTGTTTTTAAAAGATTTTGTGTGATGTTTTCCATGTATTTGAATCAATTAAGCTATTCATTTCTATATGTACTTCAGCTATTCATTTCTATATGTATTTAAGTTTGTTTATCCAACCGTCCTGTTGTGAATATCACATTGGTCTTCTTTTCTATTTGTGTTGTTTTCTGTTTGTTGAGGTCAAGTGCTGGTAAACAATATACCAAACCATCACTATCCTAAGTGTAGCATATTTTAATTGTAAAAGGATTATGGAAGCCTTCTAGCTTAGCGCTAGAGGGAATTAAATCCTTGGGGTTTAGCTCAGTGGATTCAACATTACTCTCTTTCCTGTCACAAATAATTTGTGGGTGTCTGCTGGACATAAAACCACTCATACAAACAAACTCCCTGTGGTAAAAAGGAGTATGTTAGAATCTAGGTTGTTATGGTGTTCAAAGGCGATCACATTTAGAAAGGGGGGGGGGGGCATATCAAACACCAAATACCAAACAACTGTGGGTACTGAAATAAACAGGCATACATGCACGTCTTACTTGTAATTGTGACACACATTTTACCTTACTTAACTATACTGTCAGTGTATATAAGGTTTAACCTGTGGGATGGTACCCATCTAGTAACCATGCTTGGCGTTTGGGTTGTGGCAGGTTTTAATTGTACATAGGATTAAGGTCGACTTCTAGCTTCAAGCTGGGTGTCAAGACGTTTCGGGCGATATATATGGTTGTCATACTTTAGGCGAACTGAACTGAAAATCAGGGTGATGTGTAAAAAGTTGGGGAGAAACGGTTTTTACGTTATTTACGTCACATCTTATGTATTATGACGTTATATGACATTTTTGTCACAGGGTGGCGAATTTGCCTGCACTTAACGTTAACAGTTAGCAAGTGTGTATGCCCTACTTACACTTGTAACTACTCCAACAATGTTAGAGGTTTTACACGGCGAAAAACATTTGACAGGCGCCGCGTGTCGCAGTCGGCAAAATCATATCCGATTGAAAAAAGGCCGACCAGCGGCCTCTCATGTTATGGGAGTAACTTGTAACTTGCAATAGGTGTAACAGTCTGCTAAAAACGTACACAATTATGGGGTTCCAAATTATGATCGGCGGGATACGATCACATTATTGTTTTCTTAAGAAGAGAATGTGGATCAGTGGCACATATCTGAATGCTTCTGTTATGTACAGCTGTTTTATGTTCACGTTAGCCGGTTAGCTGAAAAAATATTTATTTTTCAAGAAAATCAGGATGATACACACACTTACATATTCCTTTTGATAAACCTCGTCCAAAGGTTTCGTTTTGATGCCTGAACAGTAAGTAGCTTTCTGCAATCTGGAATAAATCGGTGTTTTTCTTGATATTTGTCGTAGAATGCAGAGCAACCTCCCCGACCCCTCCATCTTTGAAACATAGAGTTACGCCCCTTACTTCGTCCAACTCGGATTTTTCCGGCGATTACTAATGCCGTTCGGGTCTTTCCGTAATGACGACAAGTTACGTAGCTAAGGCTACATTCGCGTAACCCGGTTGAAACGGTACGTGTGGCGCAGAAATTTTCCACGATAAACGAACACACTTGGACCGTTCTATAAGCAGAGCTAAAAATCCAAAGTTTCGGAGAATAAAAAACAATGTATCAAGAATAGTATGCCCTTCTCTCACGCGTCCACTCAATTACATAACGTATCTTAAAAACTACATGTGACTTGACATTGTTTTAGAAAGAAATAACGCAAATTGGCAATAGTCAGCATTTTAGTTTCGGTCAGGCAAGTCTGGACCACTCAATCTAAACGTGCCAAATTTTTCTGAGGTCAGCCTCGGTCCAGATGCTGTACCTGTCGTTTTCTGTACAGGTTTAGCCGGTTCAACCGTTTCAACTGGTAACGCGAATGTACCCTGGTATTAACAGTTTTAAATTTTAAATCAAATTTCAATTCATAAGTGTACTGGTGCGTTTTATAATCTGAATAACAAAAAGTACGAAATCATGCACATCTGTAACATATATGGGAAAACAGGGATGTCAATTCAGTCTCCTTTATTTCTAGCCGGGGAGGGTAGATCTACATAAGATCGAAGTTTCTTTTTATTTAAAGAAAGCACATCGTCGATATATTTGAGTGTAAAATTAAAGGCTAGTTTTGGTCCTGATCGCACCGTCAATAATTTAGCCGCGTATGAAAGTTAAAAAAAATACCTTCAGTCTGCTCACCGGGTAAGTCTTGCCACCGAATTCGAACTCAACACTAAAGATATTGTCAACCAGGAACTGTATCATTCGCACAATTTCATCATTTATATATTTATTGAGCCTTTGTTGTGTTTTTCACAAGAAAACTTTTTACTAGAGGCCAACATAAGTTTCGGCATACATATGCAAGTAAAGACTATTTTAAGTCTTCTTTTTTCCCAAGCACTATTGCAGCTTGGAATGATCTTCCTGAGGCAATTTGCATGTCACCCTCCCTAGAATCCTTCAAAGGTGGTATCTCCACCTTAACATTTTGAGGATCCTGTCTGGCTAATTAACTATAATTGTATTTAAGCCACTGTACATAATGTGAATATGTTTAGCATTAGCTACAACTAATGTTATTTTAACGGTTGGACTGTGGCAAATATTTCACTCATATTATAATTTTCGACCTCCATTTTCATGTACATAGCACCACAGTTTCGGGATATTTCACACTCCGGCACCGGAGTCTTTCCCGTAAACGGAAGAAGAAGAAAATATTCTTCAAAGCAATTTACAACCACATATCGCAGTTCGTCACTCTTTTTTTTTTGGTCAAAAGTTTGGTATGAGGAATGAAAGTGTAAAGGGTAGAAAAGTCAAAAGTTTTGATAGAGGGAACATTTTTGAAAAAAAGTTTTCAAGATAGATCAAAAGATCTGTTTTGAATTCTTCTAAATCCATATTCCATGTATTCTACTTACCGAGTACATAGTCACAATGCGACTGTAACCATGCATATTATCAAATATCAGAAGTTTGCATAAAGGCTTGGTTGTCATCCTGATTATTATTCAAACTAGAAATGTCTGTAAGACATAAGTGCCCCGCTGCCATGTGAAATTAGTTTCAGTGTTCTATACAAAGTTACAACCACTTTGATCTTGATACCATGAAACATGCACACACACGCAAGGTACTACACTTAAAGTTGATAATTTGATTTTAATATTCATTTGTTTTCTCTGTATGTTATTACCATCTCCATAACATATTGAATGAAGTTGCTAAGTGTTTAAATTGAATCAGTTGATGATTTTCTATATATAGCAACTATATATAGCAACAGTGACCTTGGCCTTGACCTTGGAACTCTGAAACACAACAATGTCCGAAGTATACTCATACTTGACCTTTGCCTAAAGTTTGACCAAAATCCATGAAAGAATGAAGTTGCTAAGTTTTTAAATTGAATTAGTTGATGATTTCTATATATAGCAACAGTGACCTTGGCCTTTACATTGGAACCCTGAAACACAAGGATGTCAGAGGTATACCCATATTTGACCTTTGTATAAAGTTTGACCAAATTCCGTGAAAGCATGAAGTTGCTAAGTGTTTAAATTGGATACGTTGATGATTTTCTATATATAGCAACAGTGACCTTGACCTTGGAACCCTGAAACACAACAATGTCCGAAGTATACTCATACTTGACCTTTACATAAAGTTTGACCAAAATCCATGAAAGAATGAAGTTGCTAAGTGTTTAAATTTAATCAGTTGATGATTTTCTATATATTGCAACAGTGACCTTGGCCATGACCCTGGAACCCTGAAATACAAGGATGTCAAAGGTATATCGATATTTGACCTTTGTATAAAGTTTGACCAAATTCCGTGAAAGAATGAAGTTACTAAGTGTTGAAATTGAATCAGTTGATGATTTTCTATATATAGCAACAGTGACCATGGCCTTGACCTTGGAACCCTGAAACACGACAATGTCCGAAGTATAATCATACTTGACCTTTGTATAAAGTTTGACCAACATCTGTTAAAGAATGAAGTTGCTAAGTGTTTACATTGAATCGGGACGGGACGAACATGGGCAACACTATATGCCCCTAGAAATGTTGTTTTTGATGCAAGAACGTTAGGACGGGTCGACATTTCGACATCGAGAGCTTTCCTCCCTTCTCAAATATATGATCCTTGGGTGGTGTCATTTTACCGAAAGTCGATCTAAACCCCTAAAACATGTAAAAAAAAATCTGAACACCTTAGTTTAGGTCCAAATATAGCTGTAACAAATTCTCTAAAAGGTTCCTGCGTGTAAAGCTACTAGAAAGGGAAAATAACAAAAGCTGTATTATAAGATTTCCTATCCGAGTAAATATCAATTCTCCCTTACCTGCAGGAGTACAGGTCAAATAGCTGAAATATGTTCTAGAAGGTCCATACTATGAGGCCACCCTTTGACAGCAAGGGGGTGCTCACCTACCTTCAAAAAGGGCTCTTGGCTCCTGGGGTAGAGACATAAATTATCCTAGCTATTAAGTTCATATCGACCAAAACTGTACAGACCGGTATCAGGGCATAGCTACGGGGCAATTAGCTGTGAGCAACCTAAGATAAACTGACGGACAAATGATCATTCGGTATATAACAGGTAACAAGGTCCACTTATGTTGCTGTCCAGTACAGAGATGTCTGTCTCGGTTAATTAAGTACAGGGGGTAACGTGGAGGTCGGGTATAACAAAAGGGGACGGGAGCGAGACAGAATACCAGAGAATGTACTACACTGACCGACACGAGCATCTCAAGATACCAGAAATAAACTTACACCAGAAACATGAGTTGACTTTTGGTGCCACTGACCAAGCACTCAACCGAGACACAACGCAGCGACAGAAAAGAAGGTAGCTCTCAAAATGACAAATGTTGATCCAGTACCAGTGTTTCAAGAACATAATTACAATTGTCCAGGATATTTCCTATGCTAGGGGTTCAGGGGATATCACAACACCATCATTGTATAAAGCATGCTTAGGGACATAGAGAAATATGGAAACTCCCAATATTCAGAAAGGGATAAAATAAAGGGTTAAGTTTTGTCAAACTAGCGTTGAAGTTGTACGGGACTGCACACGTAAATAATAGAGAGAAACAGTGGGAAAGGCTAAACAATAGAGAAATATGGGACAGGGTGAAAAAGAAGAGTTGACAATTATAGCAGAGCTTACATAGAAATGTATTTTTAAATAGAAATGTTTGGGAATGTTAGCACATGTACAATAAAGTATAAATCACACTTTCATTTTTTTTTTTACAAACCTGTACGAAACATTCTTTTTTTATGGATAGGAAACACATATTCTGAGTTTAGCCAAAAGGTTGCTCTGCACTTTTTAAACACGAATGTAGCTTTCTTAGGAACTTTTGATTTTGAATTTTAGCCTGAAAACATTTTGAAGAATCATACACATCACTCTTTAAGATTTGAAGAAATTGATACGCAGTGTTCAGTACAGTAGAATGACTTTTTGAAGTTCTATGGCTATTTCATTACATTACCTAAAACCTTACACGATGGATATTGTTCTGTTTCACCAAAGACAAATTGTATCAATTAGTTGGGTGTTATTTGGGTAACATTTTACAATACATTAAGGTTCGAAAACCACACACTTTACATAATAGTTAGGTAAAATAAAACATGCTATTTTGGGTATATGAGCAACAGGTATACAATACGATTAATGTGTGTGGGTGATGGGGTCACATTCATGTGTACAAAGAAACAGCAGATATTCTATAGGGGCGACGGATAGGGTTTTGATTCAGCGTAGATTATGGTAAAGAGATCGACGACATAGGTATCGGCTTCACAACAAAAGACCATTAAGCAGCGGGGTAATTCTTGCAACATTTTTTCCCACTTTCGTTCTTTTTCGGTCCCCCAGGGGTTAAGGAAAATGGGCGTGAGAATAACAGAATTAAGGGTAGTTATTTTTTCTACATACGTTTATAAGAAGTGTGGGTTGGGGGAGCTGTGTAAGGATTGACTAGTCATGAGAGAGCGAAAAAAAATTCAGGTAAGCCAATCACCGAACCTCACTTCGAGATGGTACCGCTGGCCGAAAAGGGAGGAGACAATGATGACAGTCCACACTCGACAGCACCGATGGTCACCGGAGGATGTCAAACAGATGCCTTCCTTAAGATATACCCATGCATGTGTACCAGGGGATCCATGAGCAACCAACCATTCGAACACTATATGGGGAACACTCGTAAATACTAACGAAGTGAGGAACAATGTCGTGATGAAGAAACCATTTTCAGATACCGGAAGTGTACTTTAGCTTAAGAACGAGAACCCGGAACCCACTTTCCAAGTGTTGATAAGGAAATTAATGAACTCTGTGTTTGTAATTATACATAACAACCAGACTCGGAACAACAAAATAGGTACTGATGAACATTACACTGTGTTTATGCGAAGGCACTATTGCAGGCCAGTTTCAGCAAACGAATGAGGATCCGAGACCAACTTTCCAATAAGCAGCAGAATGAGGGGCTTTAGATCTAGATGACTACGTAGTGATTGAAAGATATGTGAAACAGACACCAGGAGTGGACTTAAGCTGAAGGATGAGATTCCGGAACCCAATTTCCAGATAAGACAAGATAGTTAATTGTCTTTTTTTCGAGCTGTAGATTTCTACGATGGGTGAAGACCCGGAAACCACAATTTGCAGATGCTGCAAGTGGTCTTTAGTAAACGGATGATAATCTAGACCAACTTCCGGATCAGTAGCAGAATAAGAAGCATTAGAATGACTACGTAGTAATTGACAGATCTATGAAGCAAACACCAAGAGTGGACTTCTTTTTAAGGATGAGATTCCGGAACCCACTTTCCGCATAAGGCAGTGAAGTTAATTTACCTCGGAAATTGTTATTGTATAACGTACTACACTGACCGACACGAGCATCTCAAGATACCAGAAATTAACTTCCACACGGCCATCAATACTTTGTTCACTCATATTTTGTTACATAATCTTGATCATCATACAACTTGGAAATGAAGCAGAAAGATTAAAGATTTGATCGTGCAGTTCAAAGCTATGCAAATAGATATGACGGAGGATATCTAACGTGTCCACTTTGAGGACAACCTAAAGGTATTGGTTGAGAACGTATCTAGAGACATCTAGTTACTACAGTAAAATGGAGCTTTTAGCTAAGCGTCGGCGCTTGCCAAAATCTTTCTTATAAAAAAAGAAAACCGGCTTGTAACAAAAACCTAATGAACGGTCAGCAACACTTGGCCCAAGGTTCTAGAAGAAGTTGAATGAAGCCAGTCATATGGCCAACAAATATAATGTGAACATTCGTCAAGTATTTGCTTTTTGTTACCGACAAAAGGGATGACTATTATTCGTTTTCTCAACACGAATGTCTCTGCACTGACTACAAAAAATATCCCCCAGTTAAATGTACTTACTCAACCCATATGTATCAAAAAGAAACGCAATTCACATTTTGAAAGTACTGCATTTAGAATTTAGCAAGGACTTGATCGTGCATTGGCGCGTGAATTGAATTCGATGGCGACCTCATGCACTATTATACTATGTTTGGAAGGCAGTTTGAGGCTAGGATAAGTGCCAACGTTAGAAAGGGAGAAACTGTCATCGTGGTAATAAAGCCAGTCTGTTATATACCAGGTCTATGTACATGAGCATGCAAATTGCCTCGAGTTTCAATGTACTAACTTACAATGAGAGAAAAAAATAGATTTACGCTGAGAAAAGCGACACAGCAATGTTAAGGTGATTTAAGTCTAGGGGCAATTGACATTGTGCCCAATAATGTTTTCGTTGACGACTCCACTGTTGTATCTTTGCTGACTGACTTTCAAGTATTAATCAGAGTTGGAATTCACATCGGCAAATGAATAAGTAATATTTGGAGTAATGCACTTGCTCCCAGTAGACAGGCTAGCGAAGGAGGTCCAGGAATTCCGACATGGATCGGGATGTTTTGGCTATTACTACAATAAGAGTGATTCTATTCATGGTTAGAGCGTTTATATTAGCCGTTTGGATTCTTGGATCCATTAATGTAAGGCAAAAATACATTTTCAAGAATTTTGTATGCTTCAGCAAGGTTTGAATGAAATTATTCTGGATGACCTTGTCGCAAGATGATGTTAAGGAAAGGATAAACAGCTTCCAGGTCCTGTAAGCAGAGACAATAAAGGCTACATAGCAAGCAAAAACCTGCTAAAAAAATCGATGCTCTTGATTTCAACAAGCGTGACAAATACCATAACTCCAGACACATAAATTGCCAATTGCAGTTTTCAAAAAGAAATCATTTTAAATTTCAAGCAATTTTAACCCATGTGACTTGAAACTTGGTCAATGAAGTTTGTTTGAACAAATACCACAGCAAGCTACATGCTGAAAATCATTTCCCTAGATACCTCATGTTTTTTAATCAGAAAATCGAAGGGAAAAGTTGGCATCAGCTGGAGGATGGACATTGAGCCATGACACAAGTTTACAGAAATCATGTGATCTAATAGACTATAAAACACACCTGTTTGTTTGTTTTTAATTCTCTATAATACAAAACAAAAACAACAGTCCTGATCCGTTTTGCTTTCATTATGATTTTTTCAACTTTCATTTTTATTACAAAATCAAACTTTAAAGCAGAAAAATCACTTTAAACCTGCATTGAATAAATTATATTGCATATGATCACACATCAAGCTTTAAATATTGTAGTAGATTTCAATATGTATTGCTAAAGTGATTGACGAGTTGTAAAATAGACAAGTGTATACAAAAATATTACCTCAACAGAAATTTATATCATATATAAATACATGTATAGTACTTCAGCCTACTCTTACTTCATCCACTCTCATGCATGTCAATGCAGATACTCACTCTAACAGACATTTAATTCCAATATACTTCTATATCAATGCAGATACTCACTCTAACAGACATTTTATTCCAGTTTACTCCCATGCCAGTACAGATACTAACTGACGAAAGGTAAGGTTGTGTATATATACAGTTTTAACTAAGTTTGGTTTGGTTACAATGTATTCAAATGTTATTCACTGCCTCTGTTTAAAACTGCATCTGTTAAAAATTTAAAACATGGTTCAAATTGATAATTTTGAGCCTCCAGTCACATTTGCAACAAGAAAGCTCTACTTGAAACACATGCAGATCTAAGAAAACTTGAAATTCTCATATATATAATCAAAAGAGGTAAACTTAATGAGTGAAATTATAATAAAGTATTGATATTTTCATATTTCAGTTATTGAAGGCACAAATTGGTGATTTTCATTAAACAACGGTTAAACTAGACATATTACATAGATACAGAGGTGATACAATGTATGAGAATTTCTTAAAATGTTTCACTTCCTTTTTAAATTTTCATAATTTGAATATAACTAATGCAAAGTACTATCAAGTATCTAGCTGGATTAAAAACAATATTAGTACTGTCAGCCTAATATCTGGGTAGACAGGTCTCTGAACACCTTGACAGTCCATACCACTGGTCCTTGTATCCGAGTAGACTAGATCACAGTCACAACATTGACATCAAATGCTATTGCTATCATCAGATCATTATCACAATTTTTCTTATCTAGGTAGGAGGTAACTGACACTTTCCCACAGTCCAAGACAATTTGACAGTTAACACTTCAGTTCCTTGTAACTGGGTAGATTGTCTCGCTGTCAGAACACCTTGCTGGTCCATGTTGGTGTAACCTTGTATCTTGGCAGGCTACCTCACAGACAGAAAATGATGTGTGCAATCCTTATATTTTGTGTGGATAAGATCAATGTCAAAGTTGATGAGAAGTCGTAATAAATACATTATAACTTGTTCCAAGTCCTTGTGGCAGATAACCCAAACTCCAATACTTGATATGTAACACACCAACATACCCATTATCAGCTGGATAACTTGTCTGCATAAAGCACTAATTTCCCAGCCAAAGAACATGACAGAAGCTAAAAGAAAGAAAAAAACCACAAAATATGTGAAACATCCTTATAAGTTTGATAACATGTAATTGCAAGTCACAAGGTGGTTTTTTTTCAACAAATTAAACATTGCATTGTACACTCTTTCACACAGGTGCAAATAAAATACTGACCATGGGTCAAACTTAGGAACTTAATTTTGTGTAAAAAACAAAAAATTCTTAACTAAGGTGTTATGATTCATACCTGCGGATATTTGGTCAAATTGCTAGTTAAGTGCAACATTTGAATTAACTTACCTGTGGATATTTGGGGTGAAAAGCAACATCAGACACCACATCTGTATGGTCAGTCAGCTTGTGACAATACGTCCCAGTTCTGATGTCATAGATGTATGTCTACAAAATCAACCACTACTGTACACATGTGACTTTTTGTGTCTTTTTTGTATATTTCCTGCTTTGATAGATATGGGCCTACAAAAGCAAAACCTTTATGTATATAAACAACGGGCCCTTCATCACAAGGTCATACAATTCAAACAGTTTCAAATAGATAGGTATACATGTGCCAGAAGAGACACTAAGGTAAACAAAATTGAAAAAACCCTATACAAATGAAATGATTAATACTCTAAATGTGACAATTCATGCAATAGGTATTTCTTTTTCAAGTCTAAAATCTTCACAGGACAGGTCTATACATATAATTCAGTAGGGCTAAACTTTATGTCAAGTCATGATCATATGATCATGTATTGTTACTGTAGCATACACCAGGTTTTATTATTGCCATGAACGCCAGCAGGTCTAAATGAATTCTAAAACAGTTCATGTACTCCGTATCTTTAATAACAGTTCCAGCACTATACATATACTTTTTACAGAATTGTGATTGGCCCAACTTAGTAATTGGTTGACTTACTGATCTGTCTTCTGACCCCGTTGCTAGGTAACGGCCACAGGGACTGAGATCCACACCACATGGGTAAACTCTGTTTAGATGACCTTCATATCTCCTTACACATCTACAACAAATTATAATAGAACATTAGTTAGTGCGGGGTCAGTTCAGCAATGTATATGATTACTGACTAAACAACACACTAGTGATTCACTACAACGTTCACAACATCACTATATCATGATGTATTACATTTATGTGAAAATGATTTCAGAGATTACATACTTTAACATCTGTGAAATGTAATTGATGATATTGTTAAAACCTTCTCATTGGATCTTTATATATAGAATCAAATAAACAAACTAAACTAATGGTACTATAACTTAAAACAAAGAAGAAATTTTACAACATGAAAGTGTAATGATAAAAATGCATAAATGCTTCAGAAAAAATAGGGGATAATGAAAAATCTCCTTTCTAGAACTTTATGTTTTAAATATTACCGAAGAGTCACCTACTCCTCCTATTTTATCGTTTAAGTATGTACTACGATTCGAAGGAAGAGATAGTGGCTAAACCCCCTGCATATTGACCACAATGCAGAATGACCAACAAGAGGAGTGGAAAACCATACTTTGACTAACAGGATAAGAACCATGGAAAACAAGACTATGACTAACAGGATAAGAACCATGGAAAACAAGACGTTGACTAACAGGATAAGAACCATGGAAAACAAGACTATGACAAACAGGATAAGAACCATGGAAAACAAGACTATGACTAATAGGATAAGAACCATGGAAACCAAGACTATGACTAACAGGATAAGAACCATGGAGAACAAGACTATGACTAACAGGATAAGAACCATGGAGAACAAGACTATGACTAACAGGATAAGAACCATGAAAAACAAAACTTTGACTAACAGGATAAGAACCATGGAAAACAAAACTTTGACTAACAGGATAAGAACCATGGAAAACAAGGCTATGACAAACAGGATAAGAACCATGGAAAACAAGAGTATGACTAACAGGATAAGAACCATGGAAAACAAGCCTATGACTAACAGGATAAGAACCATGGAAAACAAGCCTATGACTAACAGGATAAGAACCATGGAAAACAAGACTATCACTAACAGGATAAGAACCATGGAAAACAAGACTATTACAAACAGGATAAGAACCATGGAAAACAAGGCTATGACAAACAGGATAAGAACCATGGAAAACAAGGCTATGACAAACAGGATAAGAACCATGGAAAACAAGACTATGACTAATAGGATAAGAACCATGGAAAACAAGACTATGACTAACATGATAAGAACCATGGAAAACAAGACTATCACTAACAGGATAAGAACCATGGAAAACAAGACTATCACTAACAGGCTAAGAACCATGGAAAACAAGACTATGACTAACATGATAAGAACCATGGAAAACAAGACTATCACTAACAGGATAAGAACCATGGAAAACAAGACGTTGACTAACAGGATAAGAACCATGGAAAACAAGGCTATGACTAACAGGATAAGAACGCGGCTCTCACCTGTTGGTACGGATGTCCCACAGTTTGATACAATCCCCTGCAGCAGCCGTCACAAAGAGGTTATACGCGTCTGGAGGATGGGAGGTGAAGGTGGATCCCTGGAAAAAACATTTTCAATTCTATTTAGTATTGACTTTGTTCTGATTTCATATTATTGATACTAAAGCAGTTTATTTTGCATTATGCATTGAATTTTATAAAACTACTTTGAAAATATTTGAGAAAAATAAACTCAGATTAGATATATTGAGAAATTACTACCAGGACAGTAACTTTCTCTTTATGTCATACATCATATGTCAGAGGAAAGCATAGAGAAAAATGTGACATGAACAGAAGAAGCTTTCTCTAAAAACAAAACCGTTTTTAATACAAAGTGTATTAGAGCAATTGCTTCAAATCTTGCTGAGTGTAAAAAGGGACTCTCCTGGTCATTACAAGTAAAATTACAAAAGTTTTTCAAAGGTTGAAGCCTGAACCAGATTCTATTTTAAGACACCGAAAACAGAACATGATATTTATATATTTCATGTCATTGTTTACAGTATTTGTTTATAGTTGATAGGACACTGAGTGCGTTACAGAAGTCCTCACCTCATTCTGACAGATGACATGGGCTGGCTTTGTGTGGACATCAGTCATGGTACGCACTGTCTGACCAACATTCATATCCTGTATCTCTATACATTTGTTAGTCCCAGCACACAGCACCAGGTCTGACCGCTTGTTAAGGAACGTTCTAGTTGTGTAGACTAACTGATATATACATTCGACATGTCAAAGGTCGTATCATTATTTTAAATAATCTTCATATATAAAAGGTATTTGTCCACTCTTGCAGAATAATGGAGTACAAGATGACCTTGTGCCCTTTATCCTTAAGGAGAAGGTCATGCATCCTGTGGTGTACAACATGTCTAGTGTGGTACTAACAACAGACTCCATTGGCCTGTATCACTCACCTGTTATTCATCTTAGACTGTAAAAGAAGCTCAACGACAAATTTGTTTAAATTGGCTAATTGTCATTACTTAACACATTATGGGTCTTTGGTGGAAGATTTTATTACTTTAAAATGATCATGATCTTGATTGAAAGATTTTTCACTTTTTTTAATAATTAGACCTTTAAAGTTTGTCTAGGTCATTCAAGGGAGTTTCATTTGCTCTGATCTATTGTTTTCATGAACACTTAAACTTTCAATACATTTTTATTTTTTATGAATAACTCGTTTAAAGATTGATCATGAAAACAGAATTAACTAAATCAATAACATTAAGTGTCAAAGAGTTTCCAAAGAAATGCCTAATTCCTATTGTTTTGTTTGATACTTCAATACAACAGGAGCTCGAGGCTGAGATAAATAATATACAACAGGGACCTTTGAGATAAGGATACAGGAGTAAAAACCATTGACTGCTGACAGGGCCGTGATTTGCTGCGTCTCCAAACTAAAACTTGTCACCAATTTGTATCTACTTTTACTTAGGTATCTACAAAGCAAACACGAATAAAAGAGTTTAATGCACATGTGTAGGTATACAAGTGATAATAGGTGGATTAATTGATAGAATATACAGGAAAACAGGTTTATAATACATCCCAGGATACTTCAGGTTTATAATACATCCCAGGATACTTCAGGTTTATAATACATCCCAGGATACTTCAGTAGTTAGTCCTCGGCAGCCATATCACCTTGTTCTGATAAGAAATTCTTTGCCACAAAAGTGCAATAAGTCTTTGTCATCAACAAAGATTTTCATTAAAGTCCCTTATTAATGGTTTACTGTATAACATTTCTTTCGTCTTGAACAGGTATCTAAATAACTATACCTGCATGTGATCATAAGCATCAAAGTGTTTAAGTTGTTTAATAAAAGTGTAGAACACTCTTTCATTGTGTTGTTACATTTTTGATTGCAAGTTAACTGAAAATTTTAGTACACTATCATGGAATACATTGTGGTTGTGTAAAATTGGCAGTCATGTTATACATCAAGTTACTGAATGAAAGTCACTGTGTAAGTATAGAGATAATTAACAGCTGTGTTGTATAAAACTGGCAGTCAACTTATACATCAAGTTACTGAATGAAAGTCACCGTGTAAGTATAGAGATAACAGCTGTGTTGACAGATCAGACTGATCAGGCTGAGTTTGTGCTCTGACTGACCTTTTAATGTCCTGTTTGGTGAGGTCCAGATGGTACTTGTACATGAACAATGTACTTCCTGAGGTGAGGAGAATAAACTTGTCCATGTAGTAGAAACGGCCAAATTTAACCTCCCTGGGGAAAGGAGGGTTGTCCTGGCAACATACCACAGAATTATACTTCAACACAACAAAACTATGATATACATGTTTTTTTATTTATGACATGATTGACTCAGTGATTCTACTGGTAAGATTCTTCAAACATGCTGAGAAATGTTCTCCAATGAACCAGTGATTTTTACTCTATATATATCTACCAGAATTGATGATGGTAACTTTATAATTTTAGACAAAAAAAAGGATGTTTACATCAATCCTCTGCCAACTGCTGTCACTGATGACTAAAATATCTCATTGCAGTGATATAGATTACTGTGAAGTTCTCATCTGACCCTGACCTTGCTAGGTTTCTGTGGCTGAGCACCCTCCTTGTCGACGGAGAGGTTGTTGGCGGTGGTGGTAAAGGTCATCAGAGGTTCGGCCCGTCCTTTCCCCCACACACACGCCGTCCTGTCGTCTGAGGAGCTGATCAGCCAGTTACTGTCGTGACTCCAGTTTACACACGACACTGTGTGGTCATGTCCTGTATTCACACAAACACATTTACAATAAATGGTACACCATTCTACGGCCAACAAGAATTTGTTCAGTTTTCATAATGTTAACAAAAACTTTTTGTAATAAATACGTTTTTCTCAAAAATAAGCAACAACAACAAAAAACAAAATTGGATCAATAAGTAGCAAGTCTAATTTGCATCAAAGGCAATCAAATATGGTTATACCTGGTCATGTTACTTCTCTGGACTTGGTCAGGGATTATTTTGTTATTGACACTTACCCACATAGCTAGATCCTTTACCAGTCAAAGGCATGGAAAACATTTGTGCCGACTTGTTGGCCAACCCACACGCCAGACTTTGACCATCATCTTTATCAAATAGAAAACCAAGGATATGTTTACATTCATTTCAAATCCAGGATTACTTGAACTGAAAAACATGTAACTTAAACTAACAAATCTTGGCAAACTCAACATGTGGTAAATATTTAAGCAGTCATAGCAAAATATTCTCATTAAATATTATATTGCACTACAAATATTTCCCTGCAAACTTTGTCGGCTCCATCTGTTGAAACTACCAGCCAAATAATATTATAAGATTCTATGCTTTTTGTTTTTTCTTCAGAAATTGTTTGACATATTTTTCCCTGTGACCTTGTAAGTAGGTCAATGTCATTTTCCTTCTCAAACTTTGTTAGCTCTATCCCAAAAAGCTACCAGCCAAATCTTATGAATCCATTCCTTTAGGTTCTTTAGAACAAATAAATTGTTTGAAATGTTGTTGACATCTGTGACCTTTAAAGTAGGTTGAGGTCATTTTCATTTGCAATCTTTGGTGAGCTCTATCCCAGGAAGCTACCAGCCAAATATTATAATTTTATGCCTTTCAATTATTCAGAAGAAGTCGTTTGATGTTTTTGACATATTTGACACCTGTGACCTTGAAAGTAGGTCAAGGTTATTTTCATTCTCAAACTTTGTTGGGCTCTATCTCAGGAAGCCAACAGCCAAATATAAAGATTCTATACATTTTAGTTCTCCAGAAGAGGTCTTTTGAAGCGTTTGACATATTTGACCATTGTGACCATGAAAGTAGGTCAGTAATTTTCATTCTTAAACTTTGTTGGGCTCTATCCCAGGAAGCCACCAGCCAAATATAAAGACTCTATACCTTTCAGTTCTTCAGAAGAAGTTGTATGAAATGTTTGACACATTCGACCCCTGTGACCTTGAAAGTAGGTCAAAGTCATTTTCATTCTCAAACTTTGTCAGGCTCTATCCCAGAAAGCCACAAGCCAAATATAAAGACTCTATACCTTTCAGTTCTTCAGAAGAAGTCGTTTGAAGAGTTTGACACATTTGACCCCTCTGACCTTGAAAGTAAGTCAAGGTCATTTTCATTCTCAAACTTTGTCGGCCTCTATCCCAGGAAGCCACCAGCCAAATTTGAAGATTCAATACCTTTCAGTTCTTCAGAAGAAGTCGTTTGAAGTGTTTGACACATTTGATCCCTGTGACCTTAAAAGTAGGTCAAGGTCATTTTAATGAGGAAAGTCTATAGCATTCCATCCCAGGTACCTACTGGCATAATATTATGACCCTGGGTCTTATGGAACTTGAGAAGAAGATTGTTTAAATTTTTAAACATATTTGACCCCTGTGACCTTGAACGTAGGTCAAGGTCATTTGAATGAGGAAACTTTATAGCACTCCATCCCAGGTACTTACTGGCCAAATATCATGACCCTAGGTCCTCCAGTTCTTCAGAAGAAGTCGTTCAAAAGAAAAAGTTGACAGACGGACGCCGCAAAAACAAATTTTGAAAATGTATTAGGCGTTTCTTTTTCAAAAAGGGCCTCCAACTTCATTGCAAAATAAAGTAAATAAAATCACAGCAAAAGTACCAGAGAATCGGACACAGTGGATTGGTGTTGGACGTTCAGCAACATTTATCTTGGTCTGTAACACTGATGGTGCGGAACAGTCAGTTGGGTACTGTTTCTGGTTCATCTTCCTGTGTAATTAAACATATAGCACCTGTACAAATAGAACACCTCTGTATAAAGGACACCAGAGAAACACCTCTAGATACAGGACACCTCAGTATAAACATTTCTCTAGGATATACCAGGTTTCGGTCTAAATATGATTTAAAATGAATTTATATATTTTACATCAATTATTTAACAAGTTATTTCAACTTATACTAATCACCATTGATGGCCTTGATGTATTATAATTTAATACCTGAAATTCTAACTGTTTTTTAGAATGGTAAACTGATCATTAGCTTATAAACCTACCCAACAACCGATCCAGATGAGGCTGATTTGGGTAGTCCTCTGCTGGCTGCTGAAGCACTACTGGAGAAGTCTGTCCTTGGTTTAAACATAGTGTTCCTACAATAGCACCACACTAATTAATTATTTATTAGGATTAATTAGGTCATTATGGACGCAGGCCTGTATCCTTTATGTCCATATTAACATTGTACAAAAACTAGAATTGTATGTTCTTCAGTGCAACGGCTACATATAGAATCACTGTTCATTTTATGTAACAAAACAGTTGGTTTTCCAGTGTTCGTCTGATAATATCTCAAATTATTATCAGTATCTGCATTAATAACACCTTGGGGTTAAGGTGGCAGAGTACAGTAGAAATGGCTTGACCCTAAAAATAAAGGGCATGTCTCGGATAAACATGGATAGCGGATTCATCCTGCACAACACACCTACATATATGTATATATTTATAAACTACATTTTGAATAGGTGTTTTTTAGAAGAACATTTTTTTTCTCCAAAAAGTAATTTCCCCAGATTTGGGACTTCTGAAAACCATGGTTACCACATCAAAAAACACCAAAATATGCAAAAAATCATGATTTTTAACCCAGAATTTGACCCCCGCAAGTAGAATTGTTTTTCTTAAAACCTGTCTGAAATTAAATATCGCCTACTCGGTAACAGAAATACTCACGTTTTAGCATAGGTCATTCCGGTGGATTTTTCACAATATTTACACATGTGCTGAGTACAAAAATAGACTACCTGAAAAGCTAGCTTTTGTTGTGTAGACACAGATTCGTAAATGCCCAAAATTGTAGTCTCAAACCAAATTCGACTTTTCTTTTTTTTAAATTATGAAGCCCACATAGTCCACTTCATCATGTATATGCCAATTTTAGTGCTGATTTTTTTTTTAAATTTTGATACATGTTATATTACAGGGGTTATTCATTGTATAAAAATATCACCCATGGCCACCGTACGCTACTGTACTCTGCTACCTAACTGTTCCATCAATTGACTACTCGGTAGCTAAAGAAATGTTTCCTTCTATCCAGACCACTTTGCTTTTTAAACATCTTTTTTGAATGGTTCTACTTAAATTGTCCATCTCAAAAAAACGTTTTGTTACTCTACTGTCATATATATTGTTCACTATTTTAAAGCATTTATCATGTCTCCTCTAGTCCTGCGGTGTTGTAGCGTTGGGAAATTTGTGAGACATATATATATCTACCTTGGAGAGGCAGTGTATCCCGAGGACTTGACGTTGGTTTTAAATGTCAGTGGCTGATCTTCAATACGTTGTCCAGGTTTCTTGTTTGGAGTTAGATAACCTAAAAATCATATAATTCACAAATTTAGCAATGTATACGTTATATGAAGTAACTGAATGATTTCTTTTGTTTCTTAATTTATTTTTGACCTTTCTACAACTACAGTAACTAGATATTAAGATTACAGTAATCAATCACACAAACCTTTTTGTTTCTTTGTCCTTGTGTCCTCTTTCTGTTTAAATACAAGCTCAGACCTAAGGGGTGAGTTTTCAGCTAATGCAACACTGTAAAATGTATCAGATAATTGTTATCTTAAAATCCTAAAACATCATTTTAATATGCATGTGCATGTCTTATAAAAATCATAAACTACATGTGTGGACACCTACGCTAGAATTTTTCATTGACATATTGCTCAAAGTATATATGTACCAAGTTATTATTGAAGTACATTTTACAAATAAATAATATCTCTATCACCAAAAGACTGTGACCAGTTGATGATTGAATGCCCATAGATAGTGACCAGTTGATGATTGCCCATAGATAGTGACCAGTTGATGATTGCCCATAGATAATGACCAGTTGATGACTGCCCATAGATAGTGACCAGTTGATGATTGCCCATAGATAGTGACCAGTTGATGATTGCCCATAGATTGTGACCAGCTGATGATTGCCCATAGATTATGACCAGTTAATGATTTACCATAGACCCATACTATGAGACCAGTTGATGATTGCCCATAGATAGTAACCAGTTAATGATTGCCCATAGATAGTGACCAGTTGATGATTGTATGCCCATATATAGTGACCAGTTGATGATTGCCCATAGATAGTGACCAGTTGATGATTGTCCATATATTCAATCTAATTAAAATCAGATCTCTCATTACACTACGTTATCTCATTACACTACATTATCTTATTACACTACATTACTCCATAATGTAGAGTAATGAGAGATCTGATTTTAATTAGATTGTCCATATTTTGAGACCAGTTGATGATTGCCCATAGATAGTGACCAGTTGATGACTGCCCAGATTGTTACCAGTTGATGACTGACCATATATTCAATCTAATTAAAACCAGATCTCTCATTACACTACGTTATCTCATTACACTACGTTATCTCATTACACTACATTATCTCATTACACTACATTACTCCATAATGTAGAGTAATGAGAGATCTGATTTTAATTAGATTGTCCATATTTTGTGACCAGTTGATGATTGCCCATAGATATAGTGACCAGTTGATGACTGCCCATAGATTGTTACCAGTTGACGACTGACCATAGATAGTAACCAGTTAATGGTTGACCATAGATTATGACCAGTTAATAATTGACCATAGACCCATACTATGAGACCAGTTGATGATTGCCCATAGATATATAGTGACCAGTTGATGATTGCCCATAGATAGTAACCAGTTAATGATTGACCATAGACCCATACTATGAGACCAGTTGAAGATTGTCCATAGATTGTGACCAGCTGATGATTGCCCATAGATTATGACCAGTTGATGATTGACCATAGACCCATACTATGAGACCAGTTGATGATTGCCCATAGATATTAACCAGTGTATATAGATTCATTGTATACAGATTCCTGCCCCTAGCTGGATACTCACTTGGAGAGAACAGTAAGTTCATCTGCTTTCTGGGCCATAGTAAGTAAGTCATTTGTGTCCAAACTGTTCACCGCCCATGAGGGTAAGTTAGATCCCTGCTCACTGACCTCCAAGTTGTCAAGGTCAGAGGTCACCTCATCTACAGCCGAACCATGACACCACTCCAGAATATGAACTGTGTTTTGAAAATGGCCGCAGACAATACACCAAAGCTATAAGATAGTAGAAAATTTCATGTCACGCAAGTTCTTCAATATTTATTTTTTTATTAATTTAGTCTCTGCTTCACTAATGTTGAAGAGTTGTAGTTAGCTATACTAATAAACATGAAGGTATAACAAAACAGACAATTAAATGTACAAAATAAAGTTGCATTCGTTATTATTAGGGGCATTAATTAATACTTCATGCTATTTTTTTTTTTATACTTTTTCAGTTTTCAGAAACCTACAAACTTGTAATATCACTAGAGCGCAGCTTCATTATAGCTTGGCTGTGCATTGTCACTTCAAAAATGTTTTGTGATCCATTACAATAGTTTAAAATGTATTCATATGAATTATGATATATTGCCAAATTTCAAAATAAATACTCCATATCTGTGCTTAAATTTTTTATTATTATTTTTTTATTAGAGGGTGTTGTTTGAATCTATGGTAATATAAGTAAGCAAGTAAAGAAAGTAACAATAATCAAGAGACATTCACTCACAAGTCGTAACTGTTTTGAAGATAGAATAAATGAACAAATACTGAATTTGATTAATACTGTAAAATATTATCATTTACAATTAAGAATTGATTTATTGAATAAATATGACCTATATGTGTATATTATTGTATTGTTATAGCTGTATTCCTAAAAACAAAAACCAAGAAACTTTTAATGTTGCTTCTTATCCTATAGCAAGGCTGACAAACCTTTTGTACATTGGCACCCTGAGAAATGTAGACGGCACCTGCAGCATTTATAGACACGTTCTCTGTGACAAGTCCATTGTCAATCTGTACTGGATCTGTGGGTAAACCACGACAAAAAGTAAGACAATATCATTAAGTATCATAGTGAGAAAAAGTACAGAACACACTTTGTTAGTGCTACAAGTTGAGGTTTAATAGAACCTAGAACCTATAACTGAGTGAGGTCGGGTTATCTCAGTCGATGGCTAAGATTCTGAAACATAATCCCAACCTAGGCGTAAGTAGAGCTGAGAAAACCTGATCTACCTTGATCTTTTTCTTGTACCTTTTAGTTCGAAAAAGTATTAAACTTCGCTGTGGTTTACAAGAATCTCATCCAGGGCTTCAAACAAATATTGTCTCTTCGCTACTAAAGCTATGTTTATATGCTTCCGTGTAAATAATGTAGTCCGGCCTTACAAAGAAGATAACATATTTCAGTGTAAAGTTGTTTTTTTCTACACTTTAGGGAATCTAACAACATCAAAACAATACATGTAACAACAAAACAGAATATTCATAACACTAATGGGTGTTTTACCTTAAAAACAGTAAGGAGTAAAAACTTTGCAACAATAATATAAATTAGCTTGACAACAATATTGAGTGTTAATAATTAATTACCTTGGCAACAGTTAGGGGTGTTACCTTGACAACAGTGAGAAATGTTACTTAGACAACTGGAGTGTTACCTTGGCAACAGTAAGGAGTGTTACCTTGACAACAGTGAGAAATGTTACTTAGATAACTGTTAGGAGTGTAACCTTGGAAACAGTTAGGAGTGTTACCTTGACAACAGTGAGAAATGTTACTTAGATAACTGTAAGAAGTGTTACCTTGGCAAATGTAAGGAGTGTCCCCTTGACAACAGTGAGAAATGTTACTCAGACAACTGTAAGGAGTGTTACCTAGACAACAGTTGGAAATATTACTTAGACAACTGTAAGGAGTGTTACCTTGGCAACAGTAAGGAGTACTGCCTTGACAACAGTGAAAAATGTTACCTAGACAACTGTAAGGAACGCTACCTTGGCAACAGTTATAGATATTACCTTGGAGGTCCCAGAATTTACACACATCCAGTGTCTTGGCATTGATTTGAATCATGGCTCCTGTGGTCCCCACCACCAGCATAGGACTGGAGCTCAGAAGGTCTCTGTGGTAATCCATCAAGTCTTATCATTTAAAACTGTACATTTTATTTGGGATACAACTAAAACGTCATCTTATAGCACCATCCTTCATACTTCTGCTATTTTAGTGATTGTTGTAGACTCTAATACGTTCTTTTCTTAAATTTCCTATTTTGTGTGAACAGTTCAGCAATTTGATAATTTATTACTCAGAAATATATGAAAGTTTTTAAAAGTTTTTAAAGACTTCAGTCATGCAACAGAGGAATAGTAAAAGAGCAAACACTTAACTTAAATGTACATGTGTAAAGTACCTACTGTACCACGGTGCTTTTGTGTTGTAGAAACACAGGCTTTGATGAGTTATCAACTTCAACGCCACCTTGTGGCAGAAATGTGAAGTAAAGGCCTAGAACTGAGCAGCCTGCCTCAGCTTCGTCTTCCAAACTTTGGTCACCAACCGGCTCCATCTCATTCTGGTCAACCCTCTTCCATGTGGGCTTACTACTGATGGTCACTGGACCTGCAGGTTTTCAAATTCTCAAATTAACAACAATTGCACCTAGCTGATTTGTAATACAGTGTTTTAAAGATATCCAGTTACAAACATATGTAGACTTTTTCAAAGTATTCATGACACGCCCAATATTTTGTTCTGGAAATAATGTATATAACAAACATATTTTGTCAATGATTAGAAAAAGGTTTTAGACATACTACAAGCCTAACTTCAATGTCTACACTTGACTATATGGACGGTGTCACATGATTTAAGAGAGTTACAGGAAAGTTGCTTTGAGCACAAAATCCAGGCTCGAGCATGAGAATGGTTTCATGAATATGGGCCCAGAATATTGTTTACTCCCATCTCAATGTTATACATGGATTGCAGAATTTATAAACACAGCTTTAAATTAAATATTTTACACTACAGACAAGCTGATAGCTAGCGAGTATGTTTTGGTGGTTGTACCTGTTGGTGACGATGTTGAGGAATACTGCTGGGCAGTCTTCTGTTTCCTCACAATTTTGTCAACACCAATTTGATGAAGCTGCCTAAACCCCTTTCCATCTGTCAAATCAAATACTCGCACCTAAACATAAAGAAATAAGAAACAACAAATTCATTATATAATTCAAATTACAATATCGTTTCCCCCCATTACAAAGGACTGATAAAAGAATTTAACAGAAAAATACAAAACAATATATGTCTAATACAATGTAGTCTTGCTTATTCCTTACATGAATTTAAAAGAAAAAGTATAAACAGGAATGAATGATTATAAATAAATACTTGTGATCAATCTTTTATTTTATAGCTAAACTTTCTCATCTGTTGCCTATATTCAATTCATTAACTACAGTGAACAGCTAAAACTATGGCATTTTACATGTTCATCAAATTAGTGTCTGGTTTCTGTATTTGTACTTTGTTAGACACATTATGATTTGTCCAGTTTCTCCACAATGTTTGGTTCTTGTTTCCTTTATTAATAAAAATTGGGACTGATGTGAGGAATGTGTCATGTTCAACATGTACAGTACTATTTTTTCCCAATATCTTATGTTTTGTTTTAATGATTTGAAACCATTCTCCTCCCAAATTGACAATAAGGCACTTTCTGGTTTTACACTTGTAGCACAATTGATAACTATGTTTTATAGAATATCTACCTGACCATCAGCTGTTCCTATAGCAACCTGTGGCTGAGTGAGATTCATGGCCATGCTGATGAAGGGAGAAGCTGTGAGGATCGGAGACTGATAAATCAGGCTAAAATCTTCTATATTCCACACCTCATCAAAAAGAAATGGTTTAATGTCAAAAAGTGAATAGATTCCTGTATAGTCAATTAGTCCTGGTATATACTGTTTCTTTTCTATATGTTATAGTTACTATATGTTTAGATTAATATTAGGAGAACAAGCATTCAATATTTTGATCGGTTTAAAAAAATACAACTAACTAACCATTGTGCCATTTTTCCCACCAGGAAATATTTACCTTAAATGTTCTGTCCTCTGATATGGTGACCAGTGTGGCAGAATAGTGTGGACAGAACTGGGCACTGGTCAGTTTGCTAGTGTGACCCTCCACTGTGGCTACATGATGCTCTGTCTGTAAATTATCAAACAACATTCAGACAAAATGGAGAGGAATTCTGTCAATCTATAAATATCTAACCATGTGTCTTCCAGGCAGCCAAGATATATAGTAAAACCCTGTTGTAATGCCACCCGTTAAACTGCCAAACCTGCATACCGCCATTTATTTACTCAGAATGGATTTCCCCAACATGAATGCACCCGTTGTAACCCCACCCGCATACCGCCATCATATTTCCAAAACAAATGGTTAAAATCACACTATTTTGACCTCGTTAGATACCGCCAATTTGAGTACAGGTATACCCCGATGACAGGAATGTTAGGTACATGTGGACATTGTGTTGTTACACGTGACTGCCGACTTACCAGGTAATCAGCTGTATGTTTTGCATGCTCAACAATTTGATACATTAAATTACAGTTTTGAAAAAAAACATATTCTGAAGTTTATTATTAATTTTTTTAATTTAAGTTCAGTTGGTGTGTAAACACTTGGGTTCAAAACGCTAAACCTGATATACCTCCAAACTTGTTATACTGCCAAAATCACAGAGGACAGAAGGTGGCGGTATAACAAGGTTTTACTGTTTATATATCCACCAATATATATACCAGGTACCCAATGAATATTAAACACAGAAACAAACAATGCAGAACATACTGTTCAACACTTTAATTATGTAGTTTTACATAGCTAAATTTGTTATACTCCCAGCAAATAATAAATGATAAATTTTAAGAAGATATTGAAGCCTTTTCCAATATTGGCAACCTTGAAAGTAGGTACACTGTATTCATTTATTGATAGAAACTTAATGTTGTATAGCACTTTACCCCTGGTACATAGTTACTAGCCATATATTGAGATTGATTTCTAGTACTTTAGCAATAGGATTTTAAAATATTTTTACCCATTAACCTCAGATAATGCCTGCAAAATGTGACCCATCTAGCACTTCAGAAGACTTTCAAAGATTTTTTATTTTTAATAGCCTTAAATAGGCTAATTATGAACAAACCAACCTTTCCAACTCAAAGTTGATTTTATCTTAACACATACACATTATCTTCATAGCATATCAAATTACCTTGGCTATAATATATATTAAACCTGTAGGTTTTGAAATTTTGACACATGCATCCTTGAAAGTACTCGGGTAGGCCAAGGTCACTTGTATCAGTATGATAAAACTTTATGGCACTTTATAGAAGTTGTGTACCCATTTACCAGAATATGCATTACTTAACAAGATAAATTGTCAAATCAAACTGAAACTTACACTGGCATCCAAGATGATGACATCTGCTCCACAACAAGCAGCCACAAGTTTGTCATCAGGACTGAAGGAACAGTAGTGGATGTGTCCGAGGGCTGTTCCGATGATCTGACCACGTATCTGCATCCCTGAATACAAACAAGGATAACATATAACAGAATCTAATTTGGGACATGAGTTGTACAGGTATTCATATGTGAATCAAATAAAAGTATAGGTAGTATCATGATGGCTGGTGTTTGATAATTCATTATATCATTTACAACAAGTTAAGGACACCAAAACAATTTTGCTTAAATATGCAATAATGTTGCAGACCTTAAAGTATCTGTAGATAGGTAGCGGAACTGGACTGGGTCAACTGCCTGCGACCAGGTAGCTCAATTGGTTAGAGCGTTCATCAAGAGTTTGGAGGGTCCCGGGTTCGAACCACAGTCTGGCCATGCATTTTTCTGCTCCTGTTACATATGCATAGGTGACAATCACAGACCCTGTAACTAACAATTAGATCTACAACAAGTACCTTTGTCAACCATCTGGCGTGCCTTTAACAGGTTCCACACTATCACATAGTCCTCTGCAGCTGAACAAAGCAACTTTGGGGAGCTTCTACTTCCTAAGGAGATACTTGTCAGTATTTTCCTATGACCCTCCAGTTCAAGAGGCTACAATGAAAGAATGAACATGAAAAACTATTGATNACTGTACAGATTACATGTAGTCCATGTACAGATTACAGGTAGTCACTGTACAGATTACAGGTAGTCACTGTACAGATAACAGGTAGTCCATGTACAGATTACAGGTAGTCAGTGTACAGATTACAGGTAGTCCATGTACAGATTACAGGTAGTCCGTGTACAGATTACAAGTAGTCCATGTACAGATTACAGGTAGTCCATGTATAGATTACAGGTACAAGTCCAGGTATAGATTACAAGTAGTCACTGTACATATTACAGGTAGTCACTGTACAGATAACAGGTAGTCAGTGTACAGATAACAGGTAGTCTNAAAATCACAGAGGACAGAAGGTGGCGGTATAACAAGGTTTTACTGTTTATATATCCACCAATATATATACCAGGTACCCAATGAATATTAAACACAGAAACAAACAATGCAGAACATACTGTTCAACACTTTAATTATGTAGTTTTACATAGCTAAATTTGTTATACTCCCAGCAAATAATAAATGATAAATTTTAAGAAGATATTGAAGCCTTTTCCAATATTGGCAACCTTGAAAGTAGGTACACTGTATTCATTTATTGATAGAAACTTAATGTTGTATAGCACTTTACCCCTGGTACATAGTTACTAGCCATATATTGAGATTGATTTCTAGTACTTTAGCAATAGGATTTTAAAATATTTTTACCCATTAACCTCAGATAATGCCTGCAAAATGTGACCCATCTAGCACTTCAGAAGACTTTCAAAGATTTTTTATTTTTAATAGCCTTAAATAGGCTAATTATGAACAAACCAACCTTTCCAACTCAAAGTTGATTTTATCTTAACACATACACATTATCTTCATAGCATATCAAATTACCTTGGCTATAATATATATTAAACCTGTAGGTTTTGAAATTTTGACACATGCATCCTTGAAAGTACTCGGGTAGGCCAAGGTCACTTGTATCAGTATGATAAAACTTTATGGCACTTTATAGAAGTTGTGTACCCATTTACCAGAATATGCATTACTTAACAAGATAAATTGTCAAATCAAACTGAAACTTACACTGGCATCCAAGATGATGACATCTGCTCCACAACAAGCAGCCACAAGTTTGTCATCAGGACTGAAGGAACAGTAGTGGATGTGTCCGAGGGCTGTTCCGATGATCTGACCACGTATCTGCATCCCTGAATACAAACAAGGATAACATATAACAGAATCTAATTTGGGACATGAGTTGTACAGGTATTCATATGTGAATCAAATAAAAGTATAGGTAGTATCATGATGGCTGGTGTTTGATAATTCATTATATCATTTACAACAAGTTAAGGACACCAAAACAATTTTGCTTAAATATGCAATAATGTTGCAGACCTTAAAGTATCTGTAGATAGGTAGCGGAACTGGACTGGGTCAACTGCCTGCGACCAGGTAGCTCAATTGGTTAGAGCGTTCATCAAGAGTTTGGAGGGTCCCGGGTTCGAACCACAGTCTGGCCATGCATTTTTCTGCTCCTGTTACATATGCATAGGTGACAATCACAGACCCTGTAACTAACAATTAGATCTACAACAAGTACCTTTGTCAACCATCTGGCGTGCCTTTAACAGGTTCCACACTATCACATAGTCCTCTGCAGCTGAACAAAGCAACTTTGGGGAGCTTCTACTTCCTAAGGAGATACTTGTCAGTATTTTCCTATGACCTTCCAGTTCAAGAGGCTACAATGAAAGAATGAGCATGAAAAACTATTGATAGTGTTGACATACTAATTATACATGCAGTAGGTTTCAATTGTGGATGTGAATACAATCGCCTTCTAGATATGCACAAGGTTATATACTGTCAAACAGTAGATATTTTAATGAAATTTTGCAGAAAATGGGTGTGGGGAGTTGAAGTACCTGCTCTCAATGAGAATTTCTTATAATGGAAATGTGAAAAACTGTTACAATGTACTTGTATTTCTTCATTATTGTTTAAGAATTTAATGGAATAACGTTTGACATTCGAAACAATTAAAACCTTAAAAGACAGGTGTTGCAGACTCCAGACACCGACGGAGCAGCGTGTATGGGGTATGGCCAGGTATAGCCCGTCCGTTGCCAGCTGAGTGTAGGCAGGGTTGAAGGCCGCCCTCACACTTTGTATGTAACGAAGCTCCGGGTCCATGTTATATGTAAAGATGTATAACCTCTTTCAACAGGCCTTCTTTTATTTAGGAGTTAATGTCTGTCCGTCTCGCAAACGTCGGTATTGAAAACGATCTTAACAAACCGATTACGTTCTATATTGTTTCACTCGTTTTGCTTTAGATATATAGGCCTACATTATTGCGATACTGTAGTCTACCGATGGTAGTCCTACAGCACCATCGTACTTCGATGTACTTTATTGACTTGTAGCCCCAGTTCATATTCTGCTATATTTTAAGTACATTTGACTTTTAATTAAGACGTGTTCCTATTAAATTAAATAAAACAGTTAAACACATTTCCCTGTCATTTGTAAAATACTACATCCTAGTTAGCAAGTGATACAGCTGCAGTTTCATACTGAACATGTGAAGCGTCGTAATCGTCATGGCTGCATGATGCCGGTGTTAAGGGGAGGTCACTCTAGAAATACATTTTCTACATTAAGGTGGCGTGCTCTTGAAATATTGTCGTCTGTCCTAATATCAAAAATTGACAACACAAGTTTGATTACACTCCACATAGACGAAATACATTGTAACATTTGTAAGAAGTTTCTTAATATATTTAGAAGTATTTAAATGATTTGACATTTTACCCTTACATTTTTTGTGGCTGTGACCTTGACATTGGGGTATGCTTTTGAGAGCTATATTTGACCTTTGACCTTTTGCTGTAACTCTGACCTTACAGGTAATTATCAGGGAAGTTTTGTAAAATTAATATCAAGCCATTCAGAAGCTACACACCACAATACTTGGGACAGATACTCGGACACACACACATGGCATTCCCTAATAAATTGTAGTTCCCCTAATTTATAATGCGGAACTAATTATTCATGTGTCCTTCTCATAATAATAAATGTTGTGCTCAATACATTTAATAGATATAGTAGGAAAAAAGCAATAAAACTTTGAAAAATTAGTGTTTTATTTGTAATCTTACACAGTAAATAACATACAATCACAACCCAACACAAGGTAACAAAGCACTTTAGTTTTCATGTAAATATCTGTACATTTCAGAAGCACCTACCTGTAAATATCTAGACTATGCAGAAAACATACATGGTAACAATACTGCAACAAGAGGAATACAAAGTTGCTTGGATGGTGAGAATCTTTTTTTAAATCAAAATTTAAGATATTTACTACTTCCATGTGATCACTGCTGGTAAGCAAAAAAGTCATTTGCATCCTGTTTTTATGTGATAAACATAAAATAATCAGTAACAGAATAGTACAGTATTGTCTCTACTAAATGATCCTACAGACTTATCTTGGGCTGATCTGCTGTTAAACTAACTATTTATCTTTGATCACGCTGACATGTTGTAAGCCACAGATACATATTATGACACAGATTTTATTTTGACTGTAGGACTTACAAAATCCTCTGCTGTCAGCTCAATACGATTTGAACACATTCTGACAAGAGCATAGACATACAATGTACTATCGAAGTGGTTAATTGAATAACATGAATCATTAAAAGTTGAGGTGAAAGTAAATGCATATACACACGTATTCCTAATTAGAGGAATTTCATGTCATTACAGCATTAATTTGATAATTCATTATCAGAAAGTATATTCAGTTCATATTTAACCACAGGTAGATAATAAAATTGGTTCTCTGCAATTATAGAGTATCAGTTGGTTTCTCCAGTGATAGTGTAGGCAAGACTCGAAAGATTTGATAGTTCTTGATAACATCATCTCTGGTGACAGGCTGTTCCAGATGTCAACATTTCTGTGACAAAATTAATTCTTTCTCATGTTTTGGCACGTTTTATCTTTGAATAGTTTATACTCATGATCCATTGTAACAGAATTGTACAATTACAACCTTCATGTCAGGTTCAAATTCTTGCGTTACCTAAAACTACCTTCAGTTCATCACCTGGATATAGTCCACACATAAACTACCTTCAGTTCATCACCTGGATATAGTCCACACATAAACTACCTTCAGTTCATCACCTGGATATAGTCCACACATAAACTACCTTC